GCGTGGTTTCTGAGGTCACCCTGTATATGTAGACACCCACGTCGTTTGCTCACGATGGCGAAAGTGAAAAATATCCCGCGCGGCAGAGCGTTACACACGCGGCACCTTGCACGCGTATATATATATATATATATATATATATATATATATGTACATACGCACCTATACACTCGCGAGAGCGTTATTAGATCTCTCGGGGTAGCAGCGAGCCGGGATATCGGCGAGTATATGCCAGCTGGCGGTGAGATCTGGTCGTTAACCTCGCTCGCGCGGATCATTTTTGGAGCGCGTTAACGCCGGGGCCGGACTTTCCTCTCAGAAAACTTCGCTCGCGAATCGCGCGGGGCGGAATTTCTCGTAAATCACCGCACCGCCGCTCGTTCGTTTTATGCTGAATTCGCGTCTGCGGGAACACAGAGCGACGTCGAGACTCCGCAGGCGGATTCGGAATATCGAGATTTACTACCCCTTTCCGTCACTCGCGCGCGCGACAGATATGCAATTGCGAGGACCCACCCTCTATACTATGCGAGACGGAATCCACCGTCGTAAAACAGGCGCCTTCGCCATTGCGAAGTGACGTTTCTGAATCACCTAAGTATATATGTATATATATAAAATTGAAAAAAGAAAATGACATACAGCTTTTATTATTTATTATATTTATTTTTTTATTCAGGGGATAATTCTTGTCTCGAAAATATCTCACCTTTCTTCGTGAAATTTCGCTCTGTATGTCGTTTTATTTCTATCGCAGATTAATCCCCGCGCGATCTCGTGGCACTTGTTTACAGATCCATTTGAGAGATTGCATTCTCCTGTTAACCTGTCGTTCGTTCGCGCTATTGATGCGTAAGACGCAACGACATGGAACGGGATGAATCGAACGAAAATCGCGTATTGTGAGGAGGCGTCGCGTAAATCCAATATTTCCTGTCCCTTCGACCCGTGTGCGTCTCCACCCTTTCTATTTTCTCGCCCTTCGTCGCGTCACCGGTTTCAGGTCCCCCGGCTTTTAAGAACCTCGCCTCGCCACGGGAGGATCTCGTTATACGCGTACCGGATTTCATATTCGGAAGGTGTTGGGTTTCTGACCCAGAGAGCCCCCCGAGTCTCCCTTTCTGCTTGAAGGCGACTCTGCATGGTCTCGCTTCAAGGCCCGGGTCTTTTGCTCGAACCTGCGAAGCTGCACCCGTCAGCTCCGTTCAATACCGTATTTTGACAGCAGGACACCGCAAAATATTTTGCGGACGGTTTTCGCGCCTTTGCACGATCCGCATGCATCCGCTCGTTTCATTCATTCGGTGTGAGTTTTCATATTCGTCTAATAAGAACGATTGTTCTTTGTATTACTTGCTTTGGAGATTCAATTTAAAAATCACGAGTATAGGACATTTCTTCGGATGTTCTTGAATAGATTTTTATTAATATTTGCATTTATATTTGGCAACTGATATTTAAAATAATGCAAAAGGTGCAGAATTATACATAGAGAAAAAGCCTGAATTTTTTTTAGATCTTATTAAAAAATTTATAAAAAATTGCGCACATGACGTAAATATTTTCTTTACTTATTCTTCAATTTTTTATGGATTTATGTCGATTTTGCAAAAATTTTTACAAATTTTAATATCTGCTCTTTTAATTTCTTTTTATTTTTTAATTATTTAAAGCGATGATTGTAATCTCTAAACTACAATATTTAATTTTATTAAAAATGAAGATTATTCATTTTATGAGGATGAAAAGTCTTCTCAATCTTCTAAAATTTGTTTTAGAGAGATTGCGCACACGAGCTTTTATTTTAATAATACTTCACTGTTTTAAACACGTCTTTTCCTCACCCTCTGGTGTCTCATCTATTATTCGGCGACCTTTACTTTACTCGTCAACGTGGCTCAATGCTGTATTTTGACAGCGCAGAATACCGTGGCGTGTGAAATTTCTCCGGCTGCACTCATACCTCACCATTTTTCTTTATGCTTCTATTCGCCCCTTTAAACGAAAGTAAAAAGTACTTCTTTAGAATTATTGCGTCTCTAGACAGTAGTAGTTGAGAAAGCTGGAGACTGTACCGCAGTGAGAAATGGTTTGCTTCGAGCAGCATGAAATATTCAAGATATCGTATATTCTTGCGTGTGGAATCTTGCGAATTCTAGAATAATTTCTCCCTATTTTGTCGTTTGTCTTTTGCCCTCTCGTCCTCTATTCAGTTTAATTTTTAACGTTACGTTTTTTTGCGCGATAAAGTATTTCAAGAATTTCGAGATAGTTACAAAAGAGTTTTGCGTTTCGATAAAAATTCTTGAAAAATTTTCAAGGCACTTTTTTAATTAATGTATCTTACATACTTTAGCGGAATTTTATCTCATAAAAAACGAAACTTTATCTATCTTATTTTTATGACGTGTAATCTTTATATAATTTTTTGATTTTAATAATATCATTTATATATATTATATATAAATATTTACTGTTACACTTTCGGATTTTGCCAATGATCCAGAAGCTTTCCCTTCTCGTTATATCTGCAATTTTCTCTCGCGAAAGTGGCAATAATTCGCTATTCGGTTCAACGAATACGGTAATCGGTAGTTTGTGTAGGACGAGTAGGTGCGAGTTCTGCGAAGGAAGGTACCTTGGCAGAATCCCTAACGACAATTGTGTCTGGAAGCAGTTGCAAGGGTCGACGCCTTTACTGAAAGGGCTTTTTCTCTCTCTCTCTTTCGCTTTTAGGTCCTCTACTTCTCTTTTGTCGCCACGGCTCGCGCGCGGTAGGCATAGAGGACATCAAAGAACCTTTGGTACTCGTCGACCTGCTTCCATCCGCTCGCAAAATTCCCGCATAATCGCGCGGGAAGAGTGTCGAAGAGGCCGAGATGACACCCTTCTCGATTAGACAAGGTGCGAAATGCAAGCTGCGATAACGAGGTCATACGAAAGTCGGAGAGCGTCATCGACGTTCTACTAAGGGGATGGGATAAAGTTATCTTTGATGGCGGAAGGATTACGCTTTACCTTCCGACGCGCGGGAGTGAAGTGGACTCTGTGCTGGATTAACGATCGTGAAAGGCTCCCTCGAGTCGAGACGTAGAACATACGTATAAGCACGAGAATTGGATTATCATCTAGTATAGAGGAACATACCGAGGCGTGCGCAATTAATTATCTGTCTGCGCCGGATGTTTATCCTTCTGGGATTGAGTCGTATATTATTCGTAAAGCAGTGAATCTCTAAAGGTAGGAAATGTAACAATGTTGTTTGCCGGTTTACGTTCGCTATTCGCATTCGTATATATTCGCATTCAAAAGCATCGAGCGCATCTGCCGCTTCTCCCGTTCGCCTCTGTTGGCTTCTTTCACGCCACTTTAAAGATTTTAGGGAGAAATCGATTTTTGCCGCAGGTAGTTCGGTCTTTCAGAGAAATCGGGATAATTATTCTCGAAGGAAAATCCTTAGCGGCCAGTTCGTGCGTCCCTTTTTACGACGATTCCCTTTTGCCATGACACAGAGGGATTCTCGCATGGGACAGAAACGAGAAGAAGAACCCGGGGCCGTAGAAACCGACCGAGGTACGTACATACACCGAGGTCGTGAGTATACGATATCTGATGCAGAAAACCGGCGAAGGCCGAAGCGGGCGAACTGAAAGCAAAGACACGACTGCGGGTGGCGCATTGTCTTCCTCGGGTGACTTAAAAATCCGACTCGTGCCTCGTTAAGCATACGCTATCAGATACAGCCGCAAAGGATAGACTCCCTTCTCTTCGTCGAGGTAGTAACACGACGCGCGTCCTGGTCTCTCCCTTTCTTTACGGTGGGTTTCTTCTCCGATACTCCACCTTCTCGCCCACGTAATCTTGTAGCCCTCTCAACCTTCGCCTCGGTCGGGTCGTCCGGTAGCATAATGTGTGCTAAGTGTGAGCCCGATGGGACGGGCGAGAATTTAGCGAAGCGAATGCGCATCACGAGGCAATTTGTTGCCCCACTTGTGTCAAGTATTTCTTTGATGTCTATGCGGATGTTAATTATTCGTGTGTACGTTTGATGGTAATTAAGCGAAACGAGTTTTTCGTTCCCTCTGAGGGAAAATTGCGTTGATTAAAAAATGTCATTTATGTATTGCAAATATAAATGTATTTAATTATTAGCTTTTCCGATTAATAAGTGAAAATATAACAGTACAATATTTTACGAGAGAGGAATATGAACTTTTTATCTTGATATTCGCAGTGAGAAAAGGGTAAATTTATTGTAAATTACTGGAGCGAAAACGCAATCGACAATTCAATTCCAGATTCGTTTTTGTTCGTTCTTTTTTAGAATAAACAAAGAGAAAAATAATAAGAAAAGAGAGAGAAGAATTAAGCTTCTCTCATATTCCATTCCATCTTATGTAATTTATATTCACCTTTGGAAAATAATCTTTATGCAGATTCATTATGCTAATAAATTACTCTATGTCGTCTTTTTATTTCCTTACTTTCTGACAAGTTTTCAACTTTTTCATCTGCTATTCAAATTCTTCAAACCTTTAATATCTGCTACTGATAATGATGCTCGTTTTTAAAATACTCTGTTTTATATAATTTTCTCTTTGAATATTTATCAAGTTTTCGTGACATTTGATATATACATAAAGCTTTTAATGTGGGCATACATCATTCTCGTAGATTTGTGAGACAAACACACGCTATGTTAATCATACAATATGAGTGAAGCCGAATGAGTCACATCCATTCGTGTATTAAATATAGTTCATGTTACTGAAGCAGTGCGTTTGAGGCAAAAGACCCGCGGAAAAATAAATATTTCTCTTTTTTAAATAGGATGACTAACGCTATAAAAAATTTGCGAGTGAATTATATTAATTAAAAAAGCATATACATATACACGTATAAATTTATATGTATGTAAACGTATGAAAAATTGAAATAAATTGTTAAGTAATTTTTTTAAATGAAGTAATGCATAAAATTCCAAACCTTGTATGTTTCAGGCCTGTCAGATGCAGAATTATATTATGTCAAGGAAGGCGTTATAAATGAATATGCTGTGAAATTCATTGTTCCTGTATCGGCGCAGCTTCACAAACTTCACTTTACGTGGGAAAATCTCGCTGGTAGACCGGTAAGTTCTTGCAGAAAAATAATACGAACATTAATTTTCTATTCTCCTACATGCACAGAAACTTTTACGCAGACTAAATCGTAAAAAGATGCCAATAATAAAGATGTAATAAGAGTTCAAAAATATGGGAAGATAAAATATACCAAATTATTAAATATATACGTAGACATTTGAAAGCCGAAATTAATTTATATTTAATCACGGAATCTCTCATAAAAATGAAAATCTTTAAAGCAACGTTAATTATAAAATACTTAGAGTCGAAGACGTCCAATTTGACACTTTTGTTAAGACATATAACGCGAAAAGCGTTATATATCTTTGAAAACATGTAATAAAATGAGTATAGAATATAATGATGTGTCGAGAGAACAAGAATTACGTCTGTACATGATATTTACGCGCACAATATTCTCAGCAAATGCCTCCAGTGCACTTATTTGCGCTCCCTTAATTTTTCCGCCATTCCTCTCTTCGTGCTTTCTCGCCGGGATTAAAGTCACCCGCGTCTGAAAAACGCTGAAATTGCTCGTTAACGTAGGAATTCGCGTCACCACACGCGTAAGACACTTCGGCGACGAGCCTCGTCCGACAGAATCTCAGCGTTTCTTCAAGATTCAAGCGAGATTGCACCGCGTTGGAGAGATCTTTAGTCGATCTTTATATATTCGTGTTTCTCTCTCGTGTCTCTGCGAACACGCCGTACTTATCAGGATTATCGAGGCATATCGTTCCTTTCCGTTTCTCAGGTTCTCAGCACGTCGCAGTGGCGTAGACTTTTCGATAAATAAAGCATATTCTAGCTACGGGAAATATTTCAGATATAGGAAAGGATTGAGCAATATAAATTTCGTTTTCCTCTTTTATTAATTGGAGATATTCCCTTTCTCTTTTACCATCTCGCGTCTTCTTATCATCTCTTCTTAATCTTACTCACGTATATATACGTTCATTAAAATTACCAAGAGCTGACCGATCGACTTCTGTCACTTTTTGTCCCGAATAAATAACCGGTAAGCGTCCTACCGCGCGAATTAATTTTATGTTACTCTTAATGTAACGACGCGAGTGACGCGGCCGCGCGATAGTTATGACGGTGAGATCGCGCGACTGCATATTCATGCGGGATATAAAATCGAAACCAGATTCCCTCTCTTTTTCTTTCTCTCCCTTCGTCCTTTCTCTGTCTTTTTCTTGCCCTCGTCCATGAGTCATCGGCGAAGCCTCGCAAACCGCTTCTGCTCGCCGTCGACATCCGTAGTACATTGACAAAGTGGCGGCGAAAAGTGGGCAGAATGCGGCGGGGTGTCCGATTGACTCGTCGACGATGCGCGGAAAAAAAAAGAGGACCGATCTCTCTCCAGGAGGAGCGGGACAAAGTGGTCCATCCACTTCTTCTTCCCCGGTTGTCTCCTCGACGCGTAGCCAAGGAAGAGAGAGAGAGAAAGGAAGGAGATGAGGAAGAGAAGAGAGACTGACGAGCGACGCAAAGACATCCGTCACCTCCTCGCGACAAAACCGAGTTGGCTTGAATGATACTTAAATCCAACGGGCTGTCCGTCAAATCCCCAAGATCGTGTGTCTCCCGATATAAAAGCGGCTCCGAACACGGACGATAGTACACGTCGAATTATCGGGAATCGGCTCGTGACGGCTTTACGATGTGTCATTCAATTTCATCGAATACGTTGCGCGGATATTTGTATAGCGCGAGTAGCAATTTTCCTTTTCCTCGCTCATCACGCGATGCGTTCAGAATGAAGCATATGGCGGATTCGAAAATTAACGAGAGAACGAGAGAACTATATTATAGTCGGAATGGGAAGAACTTCTATGCGTAAAGGCGTGTATACGGAAATTGACATCCTCTCTTTTTGCGAAGACAGATGAAAGTGGTCGTGAACGCACGTCCCTTGCAAGAACATTTTATTTTATTTTATTTTTTTTTCAAGGATGCCACATCCATCACGATATGTTTATCGTGCCATCTGTCAGAAGCAGTTTACGCAGTTCTTATATATAATTATATTCATCTTATAATTTTCTTTTTTCAAACGTACAATATGTTCCCCAGACTGCTGTCCTTATATCCTCGCATTTGTATTTTGTTGTAACGTATGATAAAGTGTCCCTGATTGTGGGATACTTGTCAGAGGAGAGAAATCTCATCTCTCGTCCGTCTACATTCTTAAGTGGAATCCGCTAGTCCATTTGGAGGAAACTGCCTGCTGGCCTGGCCGCATAGCCGCGATCTTCGCGACCGTAAAAGACCGCAGGAGAGCGGCAGATAGTGGCAACGACAAGCCGGGTTGACGAGGTACTCGCTTCGCGGCCAGCGCAACCGAGAGAACCGATCATCACTGCGAGCTAGTAATCAGCGCTGCGAGCTCGCGTTCGTCTAGCCCAGCTTCGTTCCACTGTGGCCTTTCCTTCCCCCATCGCCATTTTCTCTCCCCCAGTCTTGTTCTCTCGCGCACAGTCGGTCCTTCGGACTCACTTTGCTCTCGCTGAGCGCAAATTGTCTTCCGAGAATGGTATACGTTCGAGATTATATAGGAAAGGTTCAACGTTCTCTTGAGATTATGATGAGGTCGGTTGAACCCCTGTGTCTTCAACATTGTCTTTCATCTCGATTGCCTTATGATCGAGTAGTTTAGATCCCGCCTCGCGCATGTCTATACCTGTATTTCTCTTATCAAGCTTCTATTCTTGCGCGAACCTTTCTCTAAATCTTGAGTCGAACACCTCGATAATCAGCCATTAGTGTGACGCCAGGAATACTCGATGCTTTCAGCTGTCGTACATGATGTCCGTGGATATCAGCAATCCCTCGGCGCTAAGTAGCTCCCTGAACATCTCTCAAGTCGGCGAGATACCACTAGGTGGCCTGCAGACATGGGCCTTATCGTTGTACTGCGGACCCTACGACGCGGAGATCGACGTCTCTCTTCGAATAAACGTCTCGCTGTCGCGGAAGAACAACACCCATCTAGAATTTAGGCGAAAGAAGATCTGTCTGAAGGACAAGAGCTACATCGGCCGCGAGGAGGAGGTCCTGGTCGCTGTCTCCGGCTCCACCACCGGCGGTCAGGTCTTTTATGTGGCGATTAGTTGCGCGTGTGCACTCATCGCGAGTATTTTCGTCCTGGTGGTGATCTATTACGTGCGCAACAAGAAGGCCAGGAGACATCGAGATCCTCTTCAGTAAGGATATATCAGCTGTTCTTGGATCGGTTATTTTTTCTTATTTTAATTTTAATTTATATTTAAATTTGTTTTATGAATTTTCTAGGGAATCCAGGGGGCTCAGCTCAGCATGCAGTATAGAAAGAGGTGCCGGTGTGGGACCTGCGCAAACCTTTTTATCGCCGGAAACACCGCCACCTGCGTCCGCTGCCTCAGGATCGACCTACAGAAGACTCGATGATCGCCCTAGCAGAGAACTGCACGAAAGAATCCAGGAAATCACAGTACAAAGGTGATTATTGTATTTTAAATATTTTAATACAAATAATTGGTTTAAACATTTTTAAATAGTTTATAAATGGCAAATAATTTTTTTTAATTTAATTATATTGCAAGTTAAATATGTTTAAAATTAAATAATTATTTAAATTTATTATAAGTATTAGAAAAAGAAAAATCTTTTTGATCTTTTTGTAATATACTATGTAAATATATAGTAAAGTATAGAATAGATTAAAATAATTTGTCTCTTTCTATTGTAGGTGCAGGGTACGTCTCCTTAGTATCGAAATGGAAGGAACATTTGGACGCGTGTATAGAGGTAGTTATCACGAAGAGGGTGCATTATCCCCGAGAGACGTGCTTGTGAAAACTGCTGCTGAGCACGCATCTCAATCACAAGTAGGTTAACTTTAATCTCCCAATGAATCTTCATTATTTCTGAATAAATAATATAAATTCATACGATAAATATAGGATAAATAATTATTATAAAAATAAAATAATCGAATGTTTTGGTTTGGTCTTCTTAAATTGACGAAGCAGAATATATATCTTTTTTTCTTGAAATAATCAAGAAATGTTCAAATATAACTTTCTGTTTTTACAAAGGTGGCTCTTCTTCTACGAGAAGGTCTAGCCCTCTACGGGCTCAGTCATCCAGCATTGCTTCCGGTTCTCGGTGTCTCCATCGAAGACAGAAGCGCGCCTTTTCTGCTTTACCCGCACACGGGTTATAGAAACATGAAGAGATTCTTGCTAAGGTGCAAGTTAAGTAGCGAAGGACCTCCAAGAGCTCTCACCACGCAGGAAGTCGTTGAAATGGCACTCCAAGCCGCCAAAGGTGTACAATATCTTCATAGAAAGAGGCTCGTTCATAGAGACTTGGCTGCCAGGAATTGCGTGTACGTAAAAACAGTAAACCATTATACACATTGCTTTCCCGGCGAATACTGTAAAAATCTTTATTAAAATGGACATATTTTATATCCAGTAATTTAATGTTACATGCTCACTCTTTAAGTTTTTAAATGCTCTTAAAAAACTTTAGTATCGGCCATATCATTTTCAATATAACTTCGTATTTTATTGCAAACCTGTACGAAGCTGAAGTCTCGTTATGTCTCGTTACCGAATTAATTGCGCGTGTAGACTTAATATGATGATGTGTTATCGTAAGACTTTAATTAGTACGCTGCCAACTATTCCACTTCGAGAAAGTACTTAATTAACGATGCGGTAATGAAATTACTGTACGATTCATGCTTCTCCAACACATAGACACACAAAATTGTCGTCTTTAAGTTAATTAATTATTTTACCTTTCAGTGTTGACGATGACTTAAGAGTGCAGATTACGGATAACGCATTAGCTAGAGATCTGTTTCCGCAAGATTATCACTGCCTTGGTGATAACGAGAATCGTCCTATCAAGTGGTTGGCGATAGAAAGTTTACTCACAAAGACCTTCACTACAGCTTCTGACGTGGTAAGTCATATATTTAGATTAATGCGAAAATGATTAAAAAGAGAAATATTAAATATAAAATATTTCTTATTTTATCGACATATATTTTTCCCAACAATATGTCGCTTTTCATTTTATTACTAAATTTTTTTTAATTTTAAAAATTATTTACGACTTATAAATAGCTATATTTTTAATTGCATTCGTATAGTATATTTGCATTTTTAATTGCGTAATTGCATTCAATTTCAGTGGGCATTTGGGGTTTTATTATGGGAGCTAACGACGTTGGCGCAACAGCCTTATGTAGAAGTGGATCCTTTCGAAATGGCATCCTATCTCAGAGACGGTTACAGATTGGCACAGCCGATAAACTGTCCGGACGAGCTATTCGCGGTGATGGCATATTGCTGGGCCATGTCGGCAGAAGAGAGACCGACATTTAGTCAATTGATTATCTGTTTGCAAGATTTTCACACTCAATTAACGCGATATGTTTAATTGAGCGTGATTGTAAAAAAAATAGGACTGGACTTTTGTTAATAAGATGTCTCAAATTTCTGAACATATCGAACATTTTATCTCGGATTTAATAATCTCAAGACACCGATAAAGGAAAGCGCTTTTGTATATACTCTAGTATTTAAGTACTCGCACATAATTTTAACATTTTAATTTTCGCAATTATAGCAGTTGTATGTATGATAATCGAATCTAATGTAATATATCGCATTTTTCTCTTCAAAAATTATTTAATGTAAGTAGGTTGCTTAAAAAATAACTGTCGGTCAAAATCGAATTTAAAACAGAATAGAATTTTATTACTGTGCAATGATTTGCATAAAGCATCAAAAAAATTTTATTGAGACGTAATGTCAAAAATATCAAACATAAAATATGGAAAAATTTAAATTAAATTCGATTAATTTGAAAAAATTAATTGAAATGTATTTAAAATTTTTATTGTCGATATATATTGCAGAATCTTTGTAAAAATTTAATCTTTTTACACAGCCTTAAACTTTTTTAATACTCCGGCCTATAAATGTTGACGCTTTATCAAAAAGTTTTAAGGCTCTTTGTGAGAAAGATTGGTTTTATTTACAAAACACAGATATACCATAATTCTATGCTTAAGTCTCAGGAATATATTTTTAGCAGTGATGTGTACGTTTGCAAAATATTCTGTGTAACGCGAATGAGCACAGGAGAATCTAGAAATCGCGTGAATTATTCATATTGTAAAAATTAAGACTGAATTCTCACTTATCGCGCGTTGCGCCACGTGTCTGGGCGCTCGTTCGATGTGTGATTATATATCGCCCATGATTACCAAAACCGGTGAACGTACGTCATCGTGCACTGTCACAATCCCGTTTTCGGAAACTCGTACTGCCCGTAGCGAAACGAGAAACGGCTCTCGGCGAAAATTTGAGCCATGTGATACGGCGCTTTGCTTGCCCACGTGAGTATGTTTCAAATGTGTGCCAATATGTTTATTTTTTGATATTTTTGTACATAGCATGTATTTACGCAATGTGTCCGCATATACGCGTCGTCGGTGCACGCGCACGTGCGTCACGTCTAGATAAGAAAAAATCTCGTGTATATACAATTAAAGTGTAACGCAAGAAAACGTATAAATGTACAAATCGTCCGGACGTGTTACGAGCACAATAAATTTCTATCTATATCGTAAGCAGCGTTGTTGCTTTTGTGTGTTGGCATCCACCCTCTACTCTGACTTCACTGAAACAACCGTAAATGTCGTTTCTAGGACGAAGGGATTTCAAACCATTCTCCGGTTATTTCTGGCAATCCTGTATTTGTGGCGAAAGGAAGGGCGTAAACGGAAAGAGTTTCTGTTTTCTCGGAAACCGTTTGTCAAAGCCATATGTCACATCTTAAACGAGTCTTGTAATTCGTGTGACAGCAATGCAAATGTCGCTTAATTGAGAAAATTAACGGTGTCTCCGCGACATCCTGCTTAAAATATTGTAGAATATTTTATTTGTTATTTTTTAATATTCTTTTAAAATATCAAATTTGTATTAATTAAAAAATACAAAAAGATGGAGTGAATCGCATCATGAGTAAAAAGTTTTTGATTGACACATTCTATAAAAATGTATATATCAACATTTTTATTAATAATTTGACAATTGTCATCGTATTCTGGAATTATTGCGAGATCCGTAAAAATCAAAAATATTTTTTTTTTTTCACAAAATATTGCCACGTAAATTTGATACTTTATGTACATTGCAATATTAATCTTTGATTATACTCGTACCATTTTTATCCGAGATTTATTTATATTTCCATTCGCTATAAATCCACGTATTTTATGAGGTATCTCTGCATAATATTCCTGTGTGTTCATAAATAATACATGTGTGTTTTATAAAACACAAAAGTATACGTTAGACTTGAATGTACTGCCAGCCGTAATCGCGAGGCACACATCGATGCGCTTTTAGATGGGGCTATATTAAGCCTTTCTCTCTCTTCTCGGTTTTCTTAAGCCATAAACCGTTTTATCTGGAATTTACGTTGTTTATTCGCGCTGCTACACGCCACGTTCGGCATCCAGGAATAATAACGCCTCGCGAAGCATGTTTCCGTGGGAGCAGGAACGACGGCCTTGCCAACGGAACATTAATTTGCAGCATATTTACACTGTCGTCCCCGGATGATTCCCCAATAATGCGAGTCCGATTAGGCACGCTACATTAGGCGCTCCGTTTTTCCACGCTCCATCAGTATAGTAAATGCGCGAGAGGGTGTCTGGGAAGCCGGAAGCTGATAGAATACATATACGCGCGCGCGTGAAAAAAGAGGGAGACACATATATTTATATAACTGAACGAGGGAATGATCCATCTGGGTTTAATCGCGCGAGAGAACGCGACGGAAGCTCGCTTAGATGCGATTTTACGACGCGTGAAACGTCCATCGATGACCACTCTTCTGCGGAAAAAAACTCAATAGATGGTTCGAGGAATTGGAATTAATTGCTGGTGAACATGGGCATCCGCAGATAGGGGCAATTGTCCCTACTTGCATTTACTCTTTTTTTTAATAAACACTGGAATTTATTTGCATATTAATATAAAAAATGAAAATAATAAAAAAATAAAAAAATTAAGAAAGAACAAAAAATAAAAATTTAATTATGTCTCCTCTTGGAAAAAATCCTGCCGAAGCTGGTAAATTAGGGAATTTTCTGCCGATATTCGTAGCGAGCCTTGACGAAAATTCCGCATGATTATGCGGCTATCCGATCTTATGAAAATAATCTTTACGTAACACGCGATATCCTGCGATCGTCTGACAATCCGTCGCTGCATAATTGCATCTTTGGCACGAACGACTTAAGTGCATTCGCAATGTTCAGCGGCACGAACGGTTAACGCCTTTAGGCGTGGGTGAATCATTATTCCACGAGGCGAAGGGTGACACCGTTAAAATCGCTCTCGCAATTTATTGATCTGACACACTCCTTACATCGTCTCTAATAAATGTCTACACGAGATGACGAAGGTATAATCTCTCTTAACGTTGGTTGCGATAATGAAGGAAACTTTAAGAATAATCGGGAAAAGAGGCTCGCACTCTATAGTTGTATAAGGCTGAAAGGGGCAAACACGAGCAGCCCCTTTTAATGAATTTCAATGAGGACCCTTTTGTTTGCGCCTGAGATTTTACCTAAACGTCGGAGGGACGACAGCATTCGAAATTGCTTTAGCGTTGATGTACCGGCTGCAACGGGGTGCATTTTTTAGAGCGAGCACTTCGTTCATTGTAACAGGCGCGAGATAACGTCATTCATGAGCATTTATCCTACCCTCCGTAAAACATTCACAATGAGCCATTATTACAGCGAGGCTTTGTTCGACGCGAAAATAACTGCACTCTACTCTTCAAGAAATGGCGATAAGTAATGAACATTTATTCCTCGTTTTTATTGATTAATGTTGCTTATGTACAAGTCAGTTATATTTTTTTTGAAATAAATAAATATATATATATATATATATATATATATATATATATATATATTAATTGATGAGAAAATAGAAACCTTGTATAAAGCACGAATGTAACTTGTTCTATTGTATTTTTTAAAAATATATAAATATTAATTACCAGAATAAAATATTCCTATTTGTCTACTTTATCTATTAATAATCTTATTTACATATAATAGTGTTTTACTTATATTTTTTTACAAGCTTACTCGTGCACATCTTGTGATATCGATCTCAGGAAACAATTAAAACCGGAGTCGGAAATTCTTTGAGAAAAAAAATATAATATATTTCTTCTCCTTTTTTCAATGTCTATTCTTGTTACGCTTTACGAGTCGTATTCATGGAGGTCATTCAGCAATTTTCTTCAAATAATGATTGTCATTACTATATCCGGCTTGAGTATTTATCCCTTCTCCTTGAAATATCTTACATAGCGTTAGAAATATTTTTGAAAAATCAGTGTCCATCGTGTATTCGCGAACGAACGATGAAGACGCGAACGAGGACAATCCTTGTCGCCTGCTTCGCGATCGTGACGTTTAATAATTTTGGCACGGCGAGCGTAAAAGTTTCGTCGAAGGTCGATTTAGATTCTGATCAAAATGAAGAAACATTAAGTAACGAGACCTTCGATACAATCGCGAATCTGAATAATGAATCCACTGAGCCATTGGAATTAATTTTACGTACGTTTAAACCGTCGACAATTAATTGGCGTCGCAGAAGCGAGCTCGTAAAATCAAGCGAACCAAGAAAAAGAAGAATTTATTTTTCGCAGGTAAGCAATGGATGGTCATGAACAAATGGTTTTGCAAGTTAATAAATTAATATTTTAATTTTATACAAGATTATTTTATAATATTAATAAAAAATTATATAAAAATATAATATATATAAAAATATATATAACACATAATTTGTTGTCATAAAATATATATAAAGTTTATAAAAAAAATATATAAAATTAAGTATCTGAGAATTAGAATTTTAACGAATAAATGTGACAAATGAAATTTATATACGAATGGAATTTGTAAGGATTAATAAACAATATCATGTAGACGAACTCGTTTGTCACAAAAACATTTTTATTGGCATGAGAATAGCGAAATTTATTATAGTGACAATGACACGAACATATCAATCAATGTTGGATTTTGGATTATTGATTTGATGGACGAGCTTGTAAACCGACTGGTTATGGATTTACAGGAAGCTTCGCGTATATCGTGTCGTAAATTTTACAAATTTAAATCCATCATTGTTCGAGAATTTTATGCAATGAGAATCAGGATATTTATTGATACTAAACCGATTTTACGAAAAAGTAATAGTTAATCCATATTAAATTTATAAATAATAGACTAATGAATAAATAATTTATGATAAACATTCTGTATCCTTTTAGCTTTGTGTTTCAATATTCAAAATAGCAAAACCAGGTCTATTAGGGATCTTTACAGAAATTAATAATTATAAAAACTATAATAATTATTTCATTTACATCCAACATTGAATTATCTTTTTTTTAATAAAGAAGAAAGTTAATAATCATTCAATATATCGACATTTAAAATTATTGCAATCTTTTAAGAATTAAATTGTTTTGTAGGATGATTTAGCTAAACGACCAAAGGTTATCAATAACATTCAAATCGTTATAAACAGCAACGATAGTTTATCAGACGGAAATTCCTGCAAAAGTTCTGGTATATGTGACGTGTCCGTTTCTTCAAAACCAGATGGAAAAGGAAATATTGTAACCGATGTGCATCTTACCATTATTACGAATACAAAACCAGACGCTAAAATCAATAATGTTCCAGTAATCGAAGATATTCCAGTAATTGACAGTTTTCGAGGCATCAGCGAGGATCAAGAAAAGCAATTAAATTTTCATCCAATAAGCACACCGAATCCATCACATTCACATCATAATATTCCACAGGTGACAAAATTTATTTGTCCCATTGCGTAAAAGATTTAAATGTGTTTTATAATAATTAATTTGAATAATGAAAAAAGGACTATATTGAACGTGTAGAAAATGTACTTTTAGATTCAAACTAATTATGAAGGATACGGCGAGCCTTATCACCATCGGCGAACTTTTCAAAGACCGCGAACGTATTGGAATTACCGTCACTTTGGAGATGATGGCAACGTAGGATTTCGAGGTCATAAAACGTGGTCGCGAGAGAGACCCATAGTGGATGATAAAATTGAACCACCACTTAGCAAGACCAAGTTTAGTGACGATACGGAATCATGAAATGATTTATTAAATTGTGAAATTCTTTAATCACATATAAATATTTGCCGTATAAAAAATGATATTGATATTCATGTAATTAAAAATTCTATATTTCATTGCCATATATAATAAAATAAATAAAATCATTATATCAAAGCGTCATGAGTTTAATTCATGCATACATGTAATTATAAAAAATATAATATTTATGTGCCTCACTTAAGCGAGTAAACATAAATACAGAATATACATATTTAGTCGTTAAATGTTGCATACATAATCGTTAATTTGATTGCTCGATATTGCTCGAGTAAAATATAACATCAACGTAAGAAAACTTATTAAAACTTTGAAATTATATATTACAAGCAAATCTTGCTTGCGAGCAAGAGATAGTCAAGCTGTCAAAGTAATTAATAATTAAAAGAAAAGTTCATAAAATTTGTCAAAGAAAAAATCTATTAGTTTTAAGAAACTTGAGTATTTAAATATGTGCTAATCTTAGGAAAATACTTGAGTCTGAATCATAGATCGTAGATTAAGACTTCGAATCATAGAAAAATATCTCTATCATGGTAACATTGTATAGCACACTTGAGATAGTAAAGTAGGAGTTAAAAGTACGATATGTGAAAATCACAATCAAAGACGAAATTAGTCGTGCACCGTGCGATAAGAAATCTTTCCATTATCGTTAACACCGGTGATAGACGATTTATGGTTGATTGGTCTGCCATCTGGACCGGTCATGCTGGAAGAACTGGAACTGGCAAACACTCCAAAGCTGTTACCAGACGGAGCTGGAAGATCTTCAGCGAATCTGGACTCTATTCCTGGCGCAGCCTACGAGATAATCGATGAAGAAAAAAGGACATAATGACTCTCTTATATACTCTTCACCGAAATATTAAACTTTTTGTTACGGGTTATAAAACAGAACGACTTAAAATAATAAATAATTAATTCGCTCATTTTCGTGTTGTAGAATTGCTCAAGTGAAGATTTCGTTTGTTAACTCATTAAGAAAAAACGTAAGAGACTTACGGGACTGATCTGGCCGGTTTGGAAACCACCACCTGGACCAAAACCAACGCTGGCAGACGCAACCTGTGGTACACCGCCACCATAACTTCCGCCACCGTAATTTCCGCCGCCGTAATTAGCGGCATCGTTGGCCAAACGATTATGAAGTTCCATGTTACTGTATAATATAAATAAATCCTCGTTTACTGTATAATATAAATAAATTCTCGTTTACATCATGCTTGAGAAAACTGTGAGTCACGTAAAAATATTCGAAAGTCAAACAATTCACAGTCGTGATATCGCATTTCCATAAAAGAATTTATCGTCACGCAATACGTTTGTTACAACTTCTTCTCACAACTTAATTGCGAACTCTAAGAACCGACACTCAAATATGTGTAATATTATGTGATGCTTAGAAAAACCGTGAAGTTTGATCGTAAATTTTATTACCAACAGTTAAGCCATCAAACGTCGGGCTATATGTAAATGATTCCCCTAGGTTTGCTGCGGAGTCATAGATTTACTTATTCTTCAATCAAAATTGTGCGCAGAAAAAATCATCAAAAGCATAACATACGCAGCATATATATATATATATACATAATAGACAATTTTACAGTAATAAATTATTAATATAGTTACATATTTTTAAATATTTTTTTGATAAAAAAATTATTAAAATTAAAATAAATATAAAAATTAAAATGTATTGATAAATATAAATGATTTCATAAATAGATAAAGTAAATTCAAATTAACCATTTACGCCAAAATAGGATTAAAAATTTATATTCTAAATAAACTTACGCCTGATGCTGCGCCTCGATTTGGGCCTGAATCTGTCTAAACATGTCAAAACCAGGATCATTGAAATGAGGGAACTGTCCTGGGAAGAAAAATCCTGGTCCAGAGTTATACAAGGGATCTGCGAAAAAGAGGCATACAATTAGACTCAAATAATGATATTTATGGGATGAAAGTCATGCAACATACATGCGATTATACTAAAAATCATATAAGATTTCATACAGAGCACCTAAATATTAATATACCTAAACAAATAAATAAATAAACAAATTAATAAAATTATAAATTATAACGCACACGCGCGCGCACGCGCAAAATTAAATAAATAGATAATATATATATATATATATATGTATGTACAAATAAATAAATAAATAAATATTGAAAATTATTGTCATGCGGCATCAGTCGCTTCGCATAAAGGACAGTATCATGCATCTCTACAGAAACGTCAGCACGATTTCATCTCAAATAAATTTCGAGATATATGTTTCCTCCGCCCTTGACGATTCCAATCTTTTACAGAGAATTTCCAAACCGCAGCATGCAATCCCGAGGAGAATTCATTCATTATTCTCCAAAATCCTGAGTCCGTCTTCGCCCTTGGACTTTGGGGCTCATGCTCGTACCTATTCCGTTGTAATTTGGCGTTGTGCTCTGGCTTGGTGAGTTATCCTCAAATCCTCCTCGAATATTGACAGACGGCGGCTCCGCCGTGGTCGTAGTAGTCGTGGATGTCGTGGGCGTAGTTTGTTGTCCATTCATCGGATTCCCCGGTTCTGGATATCCTGGTCTTGGATATTCCGGTCCTGGAAATCCTGGTCTTGGAAATCCTGGTCCTGGAAATCCCGGTCTTGGAAATCCTTGTCCCGGAAATCCTTGTCCTGGATATCCCTGTCGTGGATATCCTTGTTGTGGAAATCCTTGTCCCGGATATCCAGCTCCCGGTCCAGGAAATCCTGGATATCCTCCTGCAAAACTCCCGGCTGACGCACCCGCGGATGCGTATCCTGGCCCGTTGTTCGTACCGGTCCACGCGTAATTCGGACCGGGACCTGGTATAGAGTTGAATCCGGGATAACCAAAGGGATTGAAACCACCTGGACCAAAACCGGGTCCGCCTGGGCCAAAGTTTGGTCCAGGAGTTGGTGCTTTGTCGTCCTTGGACTGTGATCCAGGTTTCTTTTCAGATCCAGGTTCATCGAAATTCGAGCGCGTCTGAACATCATTATCCGTTGATTTCTTCGGCTTGGACGTTGATTTTGTGCTTTCTGGAGTTGTCGTGCTGGGTGTTGTAGGACTTGTGGTGGACGGAGTAGTAACGGAAGTGCTCGTGGGGGTGGTAACGGAAGTAGATGTCGGAGTAGTAGTAGGAGATGTCGCCTCCGTCGTAGTGGTTGTGGGTGTGGTGGTTGGAGTGGTAGATGGAGTCGTAGGCGACGTTGATGATGGTGTGGTCGATGATGGTGTGGTCGATGATGGTGTGGTCGATGATGGTGTGGTCGATGGTGGTGTGGTCGATGATGGTGTGGTTGATGATGGTGTAGTGGATGACGGTGTGGTCGATGATGATGTAGTCGACGAGGGAGTCGTAGTTGCTTGACTGGTGGTAGTCTCACCATTCGAATCACCGATTTCTCGCTTTGACCTTGACATCTCGTCGAAATTGACCGACGTTGATCCACGTAGTCCACGTGGTTGTGGTCCATCTTCGAGAAGAAACGAAAACAAAAGAGTAGCTCTTTATCGATTGTTGCTACCGAAATAGCTTGTATAATTGAGTCTTTCAGCTACTATAGTTGAAATATCGTTGTTAGTTTCAACATGCGGGACTACTTCTCGAAATTCCATCACCATGTAATGTGCGAAAACGTGCCAAAAATGTTACTATTCACAATCACATAATCACGATAAAAATACAGGTAATAATAGAGCCTTCAATATATAATAATTGCTTAAATATATGATTCAAACATTAAATAATGCACACACATAATACATAACATTTAACAAGTGTTACTTATCACAATATGGTACAAACAATATTTTTAATGTGCTACTTAAACATAATTTTTAAATATTATATAACAATTAACATTAATGTAACATTTGGGGAACGATATTTGGAAATTATCAACATAGGCGATATACCTTACATAATAATCTAAAATTCTATGAAACTATAGAAATAAACTCTTAAATCAATTATATATAGTTATAATATATTAATCACAAGTATATATAATATTAATCACCCAATCCATATTAAGTTGTAAGAAAGTCGTCAATAAAATTTGTAAACAAATTTTATTTGTCGTTTAATTATTTTTTTAACATATCATAAGTAAAATTTAATGATAGTTATGCAGTATGTATAATTTATTATGTGATATTCTATAGCACGTTAATTTGATAAATCACGTACTTGCATTTCTTTTTCGATAACATATGTTGTGTTTGAAATCACGTGCAGAAAGTAAATGAACTCCTACATGTATAATATATGTCACTAATTATTACAATTAAATACAGATATAAATAGCCTTACCTTTTTTTATTTAATGATTTTGTTACTAAAAGAGAATACAGAAATGCATATGACTAAATATTATATATAAAATGAATATTTTTATTTGACACCTGCTATTATATAATATTGAATTAATAAATTTTTTTGCATGTTCAGATATAAAAATAGATTTTTTAAGAATTTTTTAATTAGCGTCGTATATATTTCTCGACATGATAGAGATGGTCGTGCATGAAAGATTATGAGAAGGAAATGAGAAGAAAGTATCTCCTCGTGGGTCAAGGTGAAGAACAAAATGAGGTCATGGTCCGCTAACGTCAAATTATCTTCATTTGGCCGTGTGCAGTTACGTGTGTACAAGTTCGCGGATGAGCTGCATCACGGGAAACAGGTTGAATATTAATCTCGGTTAATTAATCTCGATTAATATCGCTCACGTCTTTAATAGCCGAGGCGATTTAACGACGCGTAGCGACAAGGAGATTTATTGCGTTGGGACAAGTACTATATATCATGGAAAAACCGATGTAGGTGGTTTTGTCAGTTAATATATGAATAAAAGATATATAGAAAAAGATATAAATATATAAATTTTTAAGAAAATTCCGCAAGATAATAATTAAATGTCTTAAATTTTGCATTATTCTCTATTTTCTCTCTCTCTCTCTCTCAACTAATAAAAAATTACGTATAACTACTTTGAAACAGCAACAAAAATAAAAGAAATAATTTTATATCGCCTAAATTGAATAAATATATTTGTATAAAAATTATCGTAAAATTTATTTGACGATAAATAACCGCGATATTTCTATATACAAAAAATTTGACAAATCATAATAATGATTTTTTGAAGCGATAGATTAGTACACGTAAATACATAATTATACATTTCTATTAATTTTTCAAAGAATCTTCTTTAAATAATCCCACAGTTTCTCAATGTCCACGTATAGAATGAAAATGCAATATCAGCAATTTAATGGCATTTTTCCTCATTGACGCTGATTAAAAATTATTTAAAATTATTTGTATGTAATATATAAGGTGTATTATCGAATTTGTCATGGAATTTTGCCATGTTGGCTAATCTGGCAATTATCCTGAAATCCCCGCGTATTGTCAGCTATTTTTACTTAAACGCACAACGTGTCGGTGTTATATAACTTATCATAGATTTAATTTTTATGTATGCAGCAAATGTATATTTTCTTTAAGATTATGTATGTTTCCATTCAATTGACAATTACAGTGTTGTTGAATTCATTCGAACTCATTTACATATTATGCCATATCCGCGATTGCAAAAAAATTATTTCCGATGAAAATACGGAAAAAAATAAAAGCATTGTCACGTACCAAATTTTTGACTTTTTTAGCAACAGCATACTGAGTATATTATTGCTTATTCATATATAATTCATTAACACGTTATTATTCTATGAAAGTTAATACACAGATACTATGTAAATGGCATTTATCAAAAGAATTAGGAGAAAAAAGCTATACAGAAATATACATAATTGTTATTTAACTTTAATTTTTAAATATACATGTTAAACAATTAATATTAATTATATTTGATTGTTTTAACATTTATCATTACACATTAATAAACAAAAATTATTAAATTTGATCCCAATAATGAAAAAAAGAAATGTCCTTCAACAGCTACTCACTTCCATAAGCTTGAGGATAACCAACATAGGCTGCTTGAGCCTCCATAAAGGATCCTAGGACACCGATGAAAACAAGCAGCATGAAGATTTTAGTATCCATCTTTCCGATTGTTCGTCGAAAAATCAACGCGAAAATATTGCAAGACAATTATTGTGTATGTTATTACTCGTCGTGTTTATATTATCAGCGTGCGCGTAAAGACCGAAATGAGTCTGATGTTGACGCAGACCGCGGGAGAATGACTGACTCAGCTGGTAGCGCGATCATCTTATATAGCATTCGCTTGTATCGGTACTTCATTACCTCTTCGTTACGACAGTACGTTCGTGAAAACTCCGAAAGAAATTTTGCGTCATGTCATCGATAACGATCGCGCGCGTAATCCTTTCAGGATGTGTTTAAAAAACTAGATACATTTATACTATGCATTCTATTATTCTAAATTTATTATTTTGATAAAAGTTCACAAATAAAATATTTTTTAATAATTAATATTACATTGTAAATTTCTGAAACCAAAGAAATAAGAAAATATTTATTATTATTAATTATAACTAATTATTATTAAATTTTATATGTTTTATAACATCAATTACAAGAATTTATTTTCTTATTACTTTTTGAGCAAATTAGATAATATTAACCCGTAATTGATGGCCATACTTTCTAAATTATCATAAAAAACTTCGCTATTCTTAAAAAAATAAAAACACTTTTTATGTCAAGATTTTAAATTATAAACATACATATTTAATAGAGGCAGCTAGGGAAAAACAGAATTAATTCTAGCAGCATTCATATTTTTTTCTTTCCATAATTCTGCGTCCCAACACATTTCAATTTATCTTATTATGTGAACTCTGCCTTTCCTTAATAGAACGGAATCGTTCAGACCTTGACAATGATTTTGCTCCAAGTTGCTCTTATACAACACAATCCCAATTCTTGTTACAATATTTTTATTTGGAGAAACCACACGATAGTTGTTTTATAGTTCGAGCCACGAAATGATAACCCTGCGATAACGACGTAAGTAAACGAACGCGGAAAGATTTTTCTCTTGATCATTGATATGCAATTGCAGGATTCATTTGGTAATCAAAATGATAGGACGAGATCGTCATGAATTTTTTTCGTGCAAAGGGGAAAACCAGAATGATAATTACACAGCTTTATTCACGCAAGCTCTTGGAGAGCACTTATACATTTATAAAAATCTATTTATCGTTTTTTATCATTTATTTGTAGAGTTTGCAACGAATGGAAAGAACAAATAATCTTTCAGCGACAGTTCAATTCAGTTTCAGATATGCACATTTTTCTTGTCATTATGTAGAATTTCATAATACATATTTTCTTTTACTTATAAATTATTTAACTGAAAAAATTTGTTTTGGTGTAACTTAATTTTTCTTTATAATTTTTTAATATTTGTAGAATCCGTTTTATGGAAATTTAATAACCAATGAACAATAAACGAATGAATTCATCACGTAATATCGTAATTATATCTCGAACCCTATTAATATTTACGATATTGAATTAATGTATTTATTACTTTTAATTTATCTTTTAGTATCTATAATTGAAAGAAGAATTACAATAAAATTATGTAATGTACAGATCTAGATAATAAAGCATTGCTTCTTCTAACTCTTTGACATTTTTTGAAATGTAGTAATATCTCTCTTCCGTAACCTGTCACATTTAATATTTAACTTTTCCTCTTAACATTGAATATATATTTATCTTGATCGAATATCATTTTCAATGGTCGATATTTCATCAATGGTCAGTATTATCATTAATAGTGATAACCGCATAATTGTTTATGAATAATAATGATCTGTCGCGCGCGGGAAATGACGACCGGTTTCCACATCCTGTTAGGCTCTTGATCGGTCCAGGATAATCGCGATTACTTCGACATTCTGTGGTCCCCTTAAAGCCGCACGTTCCCAGCTGAAACGTGTATTTTCCAATCAATCGATCAGAGAGTAATCCTACAAATCATTGATTATCGGGTAGCAACTACATCAAATTAGTACCTTCTTAACTGCATTCACAGAAATTCTACAACGCAACCGTGTCATTTAAACGAATTATGATCAATGCAAGTAAAATGTTTTAACGCGATACGTCTTGTTTTGCCTCATTATTCGTTTAGTCACGTCGCGACGTGACTCAGGCACGCGTGTTTTTTCAATAAAAGATAAGAATATTCCGTTCGGGTGAAAAATGGTGCAGAAAAATGTTAAGGGAATCGACGTTAATAATGTCGCTCGACGAATAATGACAGCTCGACGAACCAATCTGTTGTTCACGTTGCACAAATTTTTGTATTTTTATTCATACAGTTATAGCGAGACATATTTTACCGTCCAGATAAATTTAAACAATGAATTTAATTTTTGTTTTCGGCAGGTGTACATAATTTTTTCCACTTATCTTTCTGAGAATAAAAGTACAATAGAATAATATAGTATGTATTTTTATTCCCAAATAATTGTTTCCTTATTCATTATTTCGCGATCGCTTATAATAACATTTTACTTTAAAGTGGATCCAAGTATCTATCTCTTTTAAATAAAAAACGTTAGAATAAACTTTACATGGTTATGATGCGATCAAGTACTTTCGACAAAAACTATAATTGTAAACTGAAATGCCTGCAAAATCTTTCGCACGACGTCGATTGTTCTTGTGTTGAGTGATGAATTTTTTTTCTTTTTCACATAATCAATTGATGCTGGGCTGTTCGGGAAATACCCATCGATAAACTTGATTACCTTCTACGCAATAATCTGACAGCCGCTTCTTCCTGACCGCTCCATTGTGTTCTCGAAAGTAAAATGCCGCGCTTTGACTTCGAGATCCACCAAAGCAATCGCCTCATTATGGTTGATTGTGTATGCATTTTATAGATGGGTTTTGATTTTTATATTTAAAACCAAAATTATATGTATGATTTATAGTATATTTAGAAAATTAATAAATTTTTGTTTGTTTATGTACAAGATATATAATCAATGTCCATGCTTGTAAATTAAAGACAAAGTAAAAAATACAAAAATATTAATTTTTACATAAATATTAGAATATATAATTTTAATACAAAATTAATATAAAATTTTAAATGTACGCACATTTTCAATTTTTACTTTTTAATTTGTCAATACTCTCATATAGTAATTTATAATTATAAATGTACAAGGTGAAAAATGCGCATATATCTGCAAATATCTCTTGCTTTATATGTCTGCGCCTAAATTTAATGTTATTACAAAGTATGATTAACTTTGTTTGACTCAGCACATATTTCGCGTATATATATAACCATTTAGATTTTATAACACATTCATTATTAATGACAGGACGGCATGATAATCTTCTTCCAAAGATTATTAAGCTTATTGTTAGTATATTTAATCATTTGCGTGTAAAACATTAATCAAAGGCTAGTTCGAATAATTAAAGTGCGATTTGCTTTATGCCGGATATCCGCAGCAGTGAACGTTTACGAAAATTTCGTAATAGATTTATTGTATGCTTCTCACTATTGTTATACATAATTCACACGAGACGCACTTATTTACAAAGAAAATAGAAAACTATCGTACATTCTTTCTTTTGTTCTCAAAAATATTTTAAATGTCTCCGGGAAGTCCAAAGAGGAAGCTTGTCGAACTATTAGTATAAATCTCCTTTGAATCTTTACCAGGAAGCCGAAACGCATCACATGCATTAGTAAGCAAAGGAATGGGTAAAAATCAAAGGAATGAAGAGTAGGCTATATGGATATTGATATAGACTTAAGAGGAACCGATAAGCCTTTATCGTTACTTATGTTTTATCAATACCTATGTTTTTCCGACCTTATATAAGTCGAACGCACCTCACAAAGAAATTCAGTAAGGGTTACCTCGTCTCAATGTTCTGTCTTACTTGTAGCATAAAAAGTCTCAAATAGAATCATGAAGTGGATTATCTTGTTGGCAATATTTGTTATTGTGGAATATGAAGAAATTAAAGGTAAGAACTGTGTCATATAGACATATATTACATAAATTATTTTTTTCATTAGTTTAATCTTATATGTATTTAATATTATAGTATTATATAATAATAGAAACAATTTAATATATAAAAAACTGTTATTTATATTTTTATAGATGTCAACTATCAAGTGTTTTAATAAATTAAAATATTTGCTAGTTTAATTATTTGGCAAACATTATTTTGACAATCAAGAAATTTTAGCAAAATGCACCTATTTGAGTTTTTGCACTTATAAAATAACAAAAATATTATTATACAAAAAATATTTATTTAATGAATGAGTATTACGAGTTATACAAATACAACAGTATAAATAAAACGCAAAACGTAGAACGCATATGCATTTTTGATAAACCATAGATGAACAGATTATCGACAGATAAGTGATCAATTGCGTATATATAATTAGTTCCACATGATTTATATGATCAACATTATCGATCAGAATAATAAATGTATTGATGATTAATATTCCTCGAGGAATGTTATAAGCGAGAATACGAGAGATTGTTTTTTTTTTAATTATTTCTCGATTTTCTTCCTCATTTTAAAGAAAATGAATAATACCTATTGTATCTGATAAGTTTACGGAACCCGACAATTTAAATCTTCGAGGCACAGAAAAACAAAATAAAAACTCTTTACATAATAGTCATTGATAAAGTACATTTATAATTTTTTCAATAAAAATTTAATAAAAATATCAAAATCTTCGAAAATAAAAATTAATGTAAATATGTATTATAATGTAGGTTATCCTCAATATGACAACACAGAAAAGAATTTACGTACAATAGCTGAGGTACCTATCATGAAAGTATCCGAAAACTCCTATTGGATGTTTTTACCGAGATTCCAAATATTGCCATATTTAAATCAAGCGTACCATAATGTTTTTACTTACATCTCAAAAAAATTGGAACTTTTGGAAGCGAACTACAGAGAACTTGCAGAACGTTTAAAAAAATATATCGAAGGTAAATTCTTGGAGTGCAATAATATTTTTAATAAAACATATATTTATTTACTAAAAATAAATATGTGATAATTAAACATTTAATTTATTATAGGTTCAAAACCAGATGAAAAGGACAAAAAGGATCCTTCTTTACCAGAAAATATCGTTTCAAATAATGAGACACAGGTAGATGTAATTATAACAACCCTTACATCGAACAAATCAATAGACATCCCTGCGACGGATATATCAATGAACACTCAAAAGCCTACTCCAGCTAAAAATGACAATATTCAGAAGTCTGATGATAAAAAAGATCCATTACATATATCTGAAACCGTATCAAACAACGAAAATGTAACTCCACAAGAAAATGTAACTCCAACAATCTTGGAACCGGTTGAATTCCTAACTACACAAAAACCTGAGCTAATTAAAAATGACGAAGAAGAAAAACCTATTAAACAAGATGATAAAAAAACTACGCTGGTGCCAACAGAACATAATAAAGATGAAAATAATAAAGATGAAAATAATAAAAAAGAAACCACGATTGTACCACCAATTACTGACAATGAGGAAATAGTGTCCATTAAGCCAACAGATCAAGTTGAGATATCGACCACAAAAACCGATCAAACCGAAAAACTTACATCGGACGAAAATGAGAAATCATTAAAAAGTTAGAAACACCGTAAGGAAAATCCGATTTACAATCGCAAATAGATCTACTAAATTAAGGAGACAAATTAAAATAATAATAACAATAAGTTAAGAAATCAATATCATTATAAATTTTTGTATTTTTACTAACTCGAGTTTTTTAATATAAGTATTTATTTTTTTTTTTAATTTTAAATAACTCTTGCAATTTTTTCTCCAAAAATAAATTTCTAAAAAAGACATGTTATAGAAATTGTTGTCGCTTTTTCACATTATATTTATAGTATTAAGCAACTGTCATCGCGAAGATTGACATCGTATTAGGTGTAAGAAAATGTAGGACTCTCGATTTCATTCCCATTTTGGCCAGTAGTATATAACATGTGTTTTCAGCTGACGGATTATAATGACAAACGAGATATGCAGTTTAACAATTGTCTAAAATAAAATTAAATAAAATTAGGTTACATAAAATGCAATTTAACGCTTTAATCAGCTGATTTCTATAAAAAATATTAATAAAACGGAAATTTGCTAATTAAATTTTAAATTAATAATATGTTATAAAAAGTATAAAATAGTAATATGTCGTAAATAATATGTTATAATACTTTATTTTTAATTAATATTTTTTTAACAGAAATCAGCTGATAATTGTGAAAAATTATTATAATCGCAGATAAGGCATTATAAGAAATATTTACAATATATAACTATTTTCATATCATGCAGTTAATTAAAGTGTTAATTTACTAATTAATTTTTATAATAATATGTTGCAAAAATTAGAATAATGTGTTGTACATTATGTTAGAATTCTTTAAACTCGATTAATATTTTTGACAGTTATCAGCTAATTTCTGTTAAAAAATATTAATCGCAGATAAGATATTACAACATATTATTTACAATATATTACTATATTCTAATATTTTATATATACAATTTATATTAGTAACGCGATAAAAATAACGCGACGATGCAAAGAGGATACGAAAAGAATGTGAATGGAAAAAAACATCAATGCTCGGAAAAAAATATCAATGTTACCATCGCGTGTGTGAGTAACTACATGAATGAAAGAAAGTACGAGTAACAAAATTAAAACATAAATCACCGCGATAAAGAACTTGATGACAGCTCGACATGTAGTTTCACACCTCGAGGTGTAATGTGCGGCAATTGAAAAAGTGTCGGCATATTTATTTTAGATTTTATCAAGACATATCGAATTTCGTCAAAGCTGCGCGTTGCTTACTCGAGTATGTTTTTTAAAGAATTAAAGAACGCAAAAAGGATGTACGCAAAGAAATAGAAAAAGATAGAAGAAAAAATTGAGGCTCGAGTTTGCGTGGATAGACGTGCCTTATAAAGAGTTAGAGATAACGCGAGAAAGAACGAGACGCGATGAAGAACGAAAAGAACGCGAGAAGAAAATCCAAAACACCAATAAAAAGAGATATTTTGCCAATAAAACGAGCTTATTTTTCGAGTCAATAAATTTCGATTTTTTTGTTGGCTCTTATGGTCATTGATCGATAACTCCGCACGGACTCCACATGGTTTTTAAATAATGGTTTTATCAGAAAAACCAATACGTCATACATACAGATCACAACGTATTTCCCAAATCACGATTTTTCTATTAAACTAAAAGAATAAAATAATTATAATTACTTGTGAACGATAAGTCTACGCGGATTAATTAATACATCAATACATGTTTTAAATTTTTACCTGCCTTCTTGTCACTTCTATTCTTTTTCTAAATAGTGATTAAATGCAATGATTTTAATATTTATTAGAACAACATAAGCATGCGCTACGTTTTCGATTTTATGTTAAAAAGATTGATATCTAAAAAAAATAATATAAAGTTTGTTTTAGTTGAGTTTTAACTCGATTAATATTTTTTTACAAAAATCAGCTGATAACTGTCAAAAATATTATTCGAGTTTAAAGTATTATAACATACATATTATTTAACATATATTAATTTAATTTTTATAACATATTATTTTTAAATTTAATTAGTAAATTAACGCTTTTTAATCAGCTAATTTGTGAAAAATATTAATAAAGCGTTAATGTGCTAATTAAATTTAAAAATAATATGTTAAAAATATTAAAATATATAATAGTAATATGTTGTAAATAATATGTTATAATACCTTATCTTTCTTTTAATATTTTTTGACAGAAATCAACTGATAAGAACTGTCAAAAATATTAATCGAATTTAAAAAATATTATATTATTTATGTTATTTTTTTGAAAATATTTTTTTTTAACATGAAAGCGACGAATGGTGAAGGCGCTTGTGTTATTCTTTGAATAAAAATTATACTTGAAAGACTCTTCTAATTAGTAATATATTATTAAAGTTTTGTTGATTAAATGCGAAATAATATGTACATAAATAATTAAAATGATATTTGAAATAGAAAATAATGATAATAAAATTTTCTAAGTTACATTTCTTCTAAATTGATATATAAATGATTATAGTTTGTTAATTAAATTTTGTTTGAAACATTTATTTGATTTTATAAATTATATATAAAAATGTATTAATATTATACAGTATGTATTAATATATAGAAAGTTTTATAAATGTCTTAGAATTCCACAAAGTGTTACTAATTGTTAAGTATTGCTATAAAAGGTTAATAAAACTTTAAATTGCTTGTATAAGAATGAACTAGATAGATATTTCTTGAAAAATAATTTAACAAAATATACATTAAATAATCCAAAAACTTAATCCTTGGTAATTCCGTTGTAGTCATCGAGACTCACATTTCTCTCTCATGATTCGCGTCATCGCGCAACGATTCACTTGAAGAATATCACGTAAGTAAACGTGTCCTGCATTTTAAGATTCATTCTAAGGTCATGCATAGTTATTAAAAAAGGGCAGAGCCACGATGAAGTCAGAACGTTTTTAGACATGAAGAAGAACGTCAGTATCATCCTCCTGCTAACATTCGTGTTATCGTGTGCACAAGCAGGTGAGAGAAATATCTCTAGAAAGAATATAAGTGCGCGCATATGTCGGTATCGATCTTGAGAAATAAATTTATGTGCGACGAGTGTTATATATATTGCGGATGATAGTTAAAATATTATTTTCAAATCTGTATGTGTTACCGTGAATACAATATGATCTTGTTACTATAAAGATGAAATTTATTGTATGATCTCTGCATCGGACAAGTATAAAATTCTTGGTATAAAACAAAACATTTCAAGGTATTTAAAAATAAAGAAAAATACTCGACATCGTCAATATTTTTATATCTTGTATGGCATTTCTTAATTAAATATAATTTAATATAATATAATTAATTATCATGATTTGTGTTTGTATGTAGGCATAAAATATATTTCGAATTTATCAAAAATAATTATTGCACATGATTATGCAATTACATTCTTTTCTTTTCAAAGCATGAAGAGAAGTAAAATAGAAAAGAAATAAATTATCTATAACACATTAATATATGTTTCTTGTTAAATTAATATATTAAAATATATAGAAAATTCAAAAATACAAAATATATTAATGCAGAAAATACAGTTTTCATGCACACGTGCTTACAGTCATCGCTCATCCGCATATGATTCTACGAAAAATAACAGAGTTGAACAATGCGTAGAATTGTAAAATGAGTGGAACTATAATAAACAGCATAATGATTCATCAGTAAAAAAGTGAATAATCAACAATGTTTATCTGATTGAAACTTTACAAAACGAATACAATACAAACAAACGTAATTTGTTTGTATTGTATTCGTTTTGTAAAGTGCTCAACACTATATCTACTCGATTTATGGTAAATATATGGCAAAGCAACTATTTCAATCTGTTGTAAAATATCGTCTTCCCTATTTTGTTCAATATATTGAGATTTGATATAATCAAAATTTAAGAATTCTTCAGAGGAAAAAAAGAGAAGGTAAAAACAAAAAAAATGATTGCTGAAATTAAAATTCGCAAACGCGCATCTATTATATTCAATTATTGTCTAATAGAAATGTTATATTTTGGAGATTTTACAAGGATGCTGTTCCTTCAGTTTCTCAATTCCTCCTCTTAACTGAGTTGTACAAGTTATAGAAACAATCTGGTAAAGCACACGAGAATACGCTTTCTCCCTTTATTACCTCTTGGTTTCTGAAAGCTTGAAGAAACACTTTTCACTGAACAGACGAGCACGAGCGACGACGGAACACGCCGCCGGAACTAACGTCGGGGTCGGTCGTCAAAACGTCGAGTGATGAAGAACCCCAGACACGTCTTCTCTCCTTCATCCCTGTCACGGCGACTGTCAGTTTAAACGCGGGGCGCAACAATGCGCATTCTGTCAGTCTGGGTGCAAGCCTCGACGGTATTAGTCTCTCGGAAAGTAACAGTTACAACTACCCCACAAGATATGGAATTGATGGGTAAAGAGTAATTTAAAATTTATTCATATTAGCTAAATAAAGTCAAATAAATAATAAATAATTCAGAAATATTATTAGAAATTACATATATATAATTAATTAGAATGTTTCAATAACATTTCGTTAATGATTCCGATTCTGCATTGTTATATTTAATTTTATACGCGTGTGAAATATATAATGATTTTTTATTTTTAGTTATTAAATAATATTTTAAACTGATTTCTTTGATAAGAATAAATATATAAAAGACAATTATTTTTTCAGATCTTCAGTTTCCGTAAGCAAATCTACGACTGTTGCTGCAGGATTATCAGGAATCTCTACAGCAGGCGCGAAAGCTTACAATGATGGTAATAATGTCAAAACTGAAAGCCATTCACTCAGTTTTGGTCAAGCAAGTGCAACTTCTTTCGGAGCAGTCGAAAATGGACATGCAATTACTGGCGCCGCGTCTTCCATTGGTGGCTCGCAATTCTCTGTTGAAACTGGCGGTAATCAAAAACAATTCTCGCAGGCCGGTGCCATTAATGCGCAATATCCGTATCGACCGGCATGGAACAATGTTGGTCCAAACGATGGGCGCAACGGCAAGTGCAGTTGTCAATTATGCATAACAGTTACAGTCTTCTTCTATTGTCTTGAGTTCTTGTCATATAAATTATTTTCACATGAAAGATTCGATAGATGCGTTCTCTCAAAGTCAGATAATAATTGTTATAATAATTAAAATCCTTTCTGCATATTATTACAACAAATTTGATATTTACTGTTGAAGTAATAATTAAAGATCGATGTTCAACATTTAAAATTCAATATTTTAGATCGACGTTTCAATCGACCTACGTTGACCATCTGGAAACCACATGATGGAAGACGGCCGACATTGAATATCGATTCGTGCACATCCAGACGAGAAGAAAGGCCAACGATTCATATTCATCAATGGCGACCTGATCACCGAATATTTTCTCGACCAGAGCTATCGATCAAACATCAACCGCGCGATCCTTGGAATCATCAAATTCGTGGATCGCCGAGTCTTCAAGTAAGCTCTTCCTCTTACGGGTTTTCAGGATCTTACGATGATCCGGTCTCTCAGGACAATGCAGGTCCTACGAGTTTTGCGTCCTCGTCGATCGATCAGGAATATACCTTAGGGAACGCTCAAAGTTGGGAAAGTGCGTCTTCTAATCATGATTCTAGTGATTCCTTCGATGAAGACAATTCCAAAGGTACGTCGACCTCGGGACGCCAAGGTGGGAATTCCGTGACGCGGGTCAATGCTCAAGCAATTGCGTCGTCCGTAGACGGGTCCTTCGTTAAATTCCCTGAAGGTGGGAGTATGCTAAGTCAGATTATACCATTGCAATACGTCGGAAACCGAGATTCTGAGCAAGGACAATCCGACAGTGATGTATTATCTGATCTCGCGCAGACTGTTGGCGAATTGCTCCACGTTGTTTGATGGAAACGAAAAGAGATGTGTATTTACAGCACTTATTTAATATCAGCTTGATTTTTATGTCACACAAATATTTTTGTATTTATTGTGTAGTCAATCTCAATAAAGCGATCGAATAAATCTACATCGTGTATGCTTCTCTTCCACAATATTTGCCATCAATAATGAATTATAAAAATTCTGATGATATCGATATTTTTTAATCATCGATATTTTCTTTCATTGCAATAATTCTTCATATATCTCAAACATGTATCTTGAATAAATTTATTTTGTTTATCTTTAACTTATATTATTATTATTTATAGTTATATGTTCCGTAGCAACAATAATGAAACGTATCCGGCAGTACAAGTGTGACTACAGATGACAGCACCAATTGAGTTACGTTAGCAATTACCGTGTGCGTGGTTCTCGTGATGTAATTTATTGTTTCTCCTCTCACTTTAAAATTCTGCCTCATCGTGCTTCCTGGAAAATGATTCGCAAGAAGATAAGTTTTGATGAGATATGAACTTCACAATGCAAAATCGAAGGAATCAAAAGGAAACAATTTATTAGACCTTTGGTTTCTATAAAAAATTTAAGAAACTTTTTATTGTGACATTTTTATAAAATATTCGGAAGAAGGAAAAATGTAAAAATAAAATTTGAAGATTCTAAATGCTTTCTATTCACATGTGCGCAAATAATAAAACTGTTAAATTTGTGCACTTACGTCCAACATATTTTATAAAATGCCCATCATAAATGTGCATTAAAATTTACAATATAATCACACTTAAATATATTTAAATACTATATAATAAATAACTTGATTATCGAAAGAAATTATGAGTTTAACTGATTGTTGAACTTGTTTTTTGTGCGAACATTAACTAATGATTGTCATAAATATTTATTTATATGTTAATCACGTCACATGATTTCAATTTAAAGTAGGCGAAGGTCAGTAATATGAAGGATCCTGAAGGTCAAGGTATAATCTTGAACTCCTCGCGACATCTTTGAAAGAGCTGATGGTTTGAGTAACTTATGGAATAATCAAAGAAACTGTTGTATCCACGACATCAGCAATGATATCAGCAGATGATACATAAGTTAGAATGTTGCTTGGTATCAGAGTGCTTTGATACATAATTAGTTAATGAAAAAATCTTACATTATTTAATCCTTTCAACAATAAAGTGAAATGTAGCTTATTCAAAAATTATGCTAAATAACACTATAATAGGTCAACAATAATGCACTGTAGAAATATATATCTTGCATATAATCGACAAGTTTAAAGTCTAAAAGTCAAATGTTTATCTGTAAAAGTCATTTCTTCAATGTATTATCTCTTTCTATAATAATGATAAATATATATATTTTACAATCAAAATTAATATTGGACGCTAGTGCTGAAAATAAACTTGGCAAAATTGATTTCGACGTAACTAGCAGTTGTATTCAATACTTTCACGACGTTTCGACCATTTGGTTGTGGTCCTTATCAATTAAAATGAGATTAACGTAACATAAAACCGATCTTATTTAAAATTAATAGTTAAAAGAGGAACACGTCCCATCGCTATGATATTTCGTCAACGACTAAACATCATAGCGATGGGACGTGTTCCTCTTTTAACTATTAATTTTAAATAAAATCGGTTTTATGTTGCGTTAATCTCATTTTAATTGATGGAATTCTCACTTGATAAGGACCACAACCAAATGATCGAAACATCGTGAAAGTATTGAATAAAATTGCTAGTTACGTCGAAATCAATTTTGCCAAATTTATATATATTTTATTTAATTTTCGAATAATTATTTATCAATTAGAAGAATCTTGGGATAAGTTAATTTTTGACAGATTACAATAGCTGACGTGATATCATACGCTGTTTTCTTTATTTGTACATCATTAATATATATAATGATAGTAGTTAATCGTATACAGATTTAAATAAACAAGTATCTTTCCATGAATTCGATTTCTCAGAAAGATGTTGCGCTCATCATTCCATGTTTGTGAAGTATACAAATAGAAAAATTTAAGTTTCTTAAAAGTCGAAAACGAATAAAATAAAATAGCACTCAAATATTTATCTATAAAACGAATTCGATCTCTCTTTTTCTCTCTTTAAACATATATTATTATATAAAAAATAATTCTATTATTAATATTGAATAAAAAATTATACAAAAAATTAAATAGAAATACGAGATCATCGATGAGGAACCTGTAATCGAATCAACGGTGAATCTGTGAGAAGCCTGAAATACATATATGCGATTCAAGGTCTCGACTGATGACTCACCGATCATCTCACAACAGTTTGACTCACAAAAAGCTACGGCGAAAATAATTATCGTGGAACCGGTCGAGGATTATCTGCGAGATTTCATTATTCGTACGCTGCAATTAAGATGGGACAACCCGACATTTATTTAAGGGGCACAAGGTTGAGGCTATCACATGTCAATCGATTTTTTTTAATTTAATAATATATATACGCGCACCAATAATGCTATGACATAATGCTGGACACGCGTAATAAGATGTAAAAATTAACATAATGACCGGTAATCAGTACTACTTATCTTTTTGGTTTTTTTATCAAGAATTGGTACAAACTTAGCAATAATAATCGCACTGAATGACTAAGTTGTTGATAGCAACGCAAGAAAATTCCCCCGGATATTTTAGCGTGCAGTTAATTTTCTAAGCTATAAGATAATTGTATGCTCATCAGCTTCTTCCGTATGCGAGAGATATGTACTTATTTCTTTGAACGTTAATATTTGACCTGTGAAATTATTATTCTTTTAACATTTTAAAGTTATAATAATATTAGTTATAATATAGAACAATAATTAGAAATATCATGGCTTAAAATGTGTCAATTTTTAGCAGTCAATATTGTTGTCAATAAAATTAATAAAATGCGTAAATATTTTATATTTTCAAAATTGTAAAATTTTTAAACATTTCTTTTACATAAAGTGAAGTAAAGTTTTAAAAATTTGTGTTGTATAAAATATTTTTTGTAATGGTATATGTAATAATTACGATTCACTGATAATTATTTGATTTTTGACTTTGTTATACATATATACTCGCTTAAATCATCTATATAATCATCAAATTAAGATTGAATCATGAAGGCAATTTACAAATGCGCGCACAACATTGTTCTTTTATTTGTTCGGAGTAAATCTATTTCGAAAAATTTTCCGCGTTATACAGCGTAGCAATTATGTATACACAATTAATGCTGAAAAATAACTAAAATGATATACAACTATTATCACATAAATTGTAAACATAAATTACTTATAGCAATAGAATATATGTATATCGGTGTTAATCTTTCTACGTAAAATAATAAAAAAATATTAGAAAAGAGACAAAAATCTCGCATTAATGTTAAATTGTTACAAAATTGTCCTGAATATTTATGATCTGTTAATTGATTAATGGATCTTTTTCAGATCAATAGCGAATCAATATCTTTCAAAGGGATTTTTCTCATAACTCTATCGAGAGCGATTATTTCTGGATCCGATTTACCTCTATCAACCAAGGCTAAACGAACTTCGCATTCTTTTGCAGTCGACAGAAAGGTGATATGTGTTGTCGACGGCTTGTGCGGTTTTAGTTACGCACAATTCGAATAAACCGATTATACGAAACAGTAGATGTTCCCACTAACTATAGCCGGAAATAATTATGGACCATCCGAGAAAAATCGAATGTACATGCTTTAACATTTCTTAGTAATTCTAATCATTTCCTCCTGCAAACGCGCGTGTATCGTGTTATCGATGACGTAAGTAAGAAATATTATTTTTTTAAAATATTTAATTGATACGGTAGAAAAAGCACGTATATACATGACGAAATCATCGATAAGAGTGACATACGCAAGCAAATTTATAAAATAATATTTTGCGATACAAAGCTGTTATTTGATATGCGTGTGTTTACTGTGTTTGTATATAGAGAAAGAGAAAGTGTATACTATATATGTACATATATCGTATGTATAAATTGTTAAATATGATTATTGCTTATCATCATTGATTATCATCATATATAAAAATATATATTAATGCTTTTTTAATATAAATTGTACCTTGAAAACTTGTTTTTTGTTTAAGAAGTAAAATGAAATGTTCATGTGATAGAATATACGAAAATTTATATATAAGCTTGGTACGCAATAACATGATCAACGGATGCAACACAGACGAATGCTATTTGCGGCATTGAGAAGTAAACAGATAATATTAACTGGATTTGCATATGTAACTTGATCGTTATTTCAAACCGCAGTGTTAATCATTGTAAGAATTAACATATAGCAGCTTCAACGTGATTAAAATTGGTGTCAAGTTTAAATAAAATATGCAAGTTATATTTTTATACATTAATATTAAAATTAATATAAATGAAGTTGTTTCAAAATTAATAAGTCAATACTATCTTATAAAAGTTTCATAATGTGAGACAGTGTTGAGAAGAAAAATAATGGACAAATCAAATTGACAAAGAATCGTGCACATTTTAATATTCTTGATGTATTTTGTGTGTGACAGATCCATTAAGCGTGACAACAGAGAATATGACTCCGTAACACTAATTACCTGTATACATATATGTTCGAGTTAGGAAATCCTGATGAACCAGCATCGTTTTATGTTTAATTGTATGTAAAGTGTTTCTAATTACAGTAATATAATTTGATGCCTTGGATTCATTCTACTATTAATCGAAGTATACATATAATACAATAATTAAAGTTTATCAAAAGATATACGAAATAAAAAAAATTAAAAGTTATATCTCTCTACAATGATTTAAATTAATATATTAATAAATTAATAAAAATATATATATTATATTAATTTTTTTTAAATATAACTTTATTTTTATTAATTTATACGAACTTTAATCTTTCTGAAATAATGTAACTTGCCATATTTTACTTTTTTTTATATATATATATATATATATATATATACATACGTACACTGAATAAAATTTATTGAATTCGAATAAATATTTATTTTAATACTGCCTAATAAATAATTTATTTAAAATTAATAATATTGATTTAATGTGCAAAATATTTATATGATATAAAATAATCCTCTTCAATATAGATAAATGTTTATTTGTTTCAAAAATTAATAATTGATTAGACAGTATTGAAATAAATACTTATTAATATAATTTTTTATATTGTTATTTATATATTGATAAATAGATAGATGAGATATACAGTCACAAGTAAAAATATTTGGATAATTAAATATTGTTACTAATAATAAGATTAATGGTAAAATGATGACCAACAATAATATACCCGTACATATTATTTTACATGTTAATGATATGCATAATTCGCCGAATACACAGGTACATCACCAGTTTATATAATTTCTCAGTAGTCGTTTATTTAAAGATTTTAGTAGTTAATGAAGACTAAATTCTCTCATTTTCTGTTCGTCTCTATAATAACACATTAGGCGTAATAAAAAATGATTAATTATATGGATATTAATTTTTTTACGATTTTTTGTCGATATCAACAATTCATGGTTTAGTATTATTGTTGGTATCAGTTATTTTGTTTTCTCATTAATATTATTTTTAAAAAATCAAAAAGTAAAAATTTACAATATACATTACACATACACACACAATGACATATATATGTATATATGTATATAAAGAGTTATATAAAAACGCTTTTGCATATTTATATATTACATGTTACAGTAATTCTTATCTTTAATAAATGTTTACATTTTTATAAAAAGTTCTATAAATATAATGAAGCATACGTTATTTTTAATATGTGTATGTTTTTAAAAATCCATTTATTTTTAAAAAATTTATATCAAGAACAAATCAATACTAATTGTAAATATTGCAATAAACCTGAATAAAATAAAAACTATACATTCTCAAAAGATATTTTAAAAACTATCGCGATATTATTTTTTATACGTTTATACTTTACATTTGCATCTTATATATTTAAAAAATGTTAATTTTTGTCATACTAGATCAATTTTTAAAGCATTTAGTAATACGTAAAATAAGTTTTAATTATTCGAAACTCTTTAAAGACAATATGTTAGAAAAAAATTAATTTTTTCACGGACTTTTTTAATGATATTATTACACAACACTTATGAAAAATGACAAGATATTATTACACAACACTTATGAAAAATTACAAGATGAATTTGTACATAGAGATTATACATTTCTTGTTTTCCACTTTATATTCAATATTCACTTTCATCTTGTGGCGCGCACAATTAAACGCGCACATTAATCTCGACAAAAAGTACATTTTAGATTGGTCATGTATGCACTATATACATGACCAATCTGACGGGGATTCCCTTGGAAAATTTAAAAAAGTCAGCGTTGGTCGACGCGAAGCGCGGTGTGCAATGTGCAGCAAAAAGCGATGGAGGTGGTTCGCGTTATATAATTCATCAGGATCAGACGCGTATCGTATCGATGACTATAAAAGCGTCAAGATTAAAAGATCGACATGCAGTGCATCCTCGGGAACATTGAACATCTCTCACGATGATGATTCGTGCTCTTGAAATAGTGCTCCTTTTTACATTTGTCGCAACCCTTTCAGGGTTGCCGACTGAAGTACCAGGTAAGAAAATAATGTTTTCCATAAAAATAGAATATATACAATTATACATAATATTGCAATTCATATTTAAAAAAAATTATTTTTGCGTATAACGGTATATTAAACTTTCCTACCACAAAAAAAACGGATAGTTATATATTTTTTAAAATTAATTTAATACAATTCGTAATTGCATTGTCATAAGAATATTTTTATTTCTAATTAATTATTTAATAAAGGTATATGTATATAAAATGTTCCTATTATTAAATATTAAATCTGGATTGCAATTTAAACAAATAAACAAATTGTGATTTTTTAAAGAAATAAAACATAAAATAAGGCATATATGTAGTTGCAAAGATTAATACATTAATAATTATTAGATACATTAATGTTTGGGAATTAATCTGTATGGTAAATTGGTATTACTATTTTGCATAATTTTTTGCAAATAATAATCTTTTAGCAAAAAAAAAATGATATACATTCGTGATACATTCTCATAATTTCTTTTTAACTTAATTGTATACTACTATTTAAAATAGTAAAGTTAACAAATAAATACTTGTAATATTTTTATTTCCCTGAGAAACTACCTATTCATGCGTCGCAATCTTAAAGACCGTTTTGAAAAATATAGAAGACAGCTGCCCGAGCTCTGTAATTAATTTTGCATGCAACAGACAAGATGTCTCTGAAAATAACAGTGATGTCAGAGTGCATGCGCTGGAATTCCAATCGCAATCAGTTTAAGATTCTTTATGCTTCGTGCCGATCGACGTAATCTGCTTATTTTTGTTCACATAATGATCGATTTGTTTTTTAACGTGATCAGCCCCGGAGGTAAACACTCACGAAGAACACACGTTGTCAACCGAGTTACAGCCGCCGCCGTTGGACGAGAAGGAACACCATGCCACAGTCTACATAATTAATCTGTACGCTGTAAAAAACAGCAGCGGCAGAACGTCAGAGGAAGTATTTGAAAATGAAATCATCGAAACTGTACCTGACATCTTAGGTAAGCGTGCGAATGATTTCTTTTAATAATAAATACAAATTCGACGTCAATTTTTTTACGTATTTTTTTTTCGCAAATATTTTATATATTTCCATACACGACAAAAATAATAAATAAATTAGAAATATAAATAAATGTCATTAAACAAAATCTTGAATGATAAGTGTATCTTTGCAGAGCCCTTGGCCACTGTTTTCTTAGTGGTGGTAGATGAAGATGAAGAAAAAGAAAGACATTCACCCGCCAACCTCGACGAATTCGCGGCAGAATTGGAAAGCCAAGGTTTCAAGATCGACAAGATCGACGTAGACAATAAGTCGAAAGTGCTCAGAATGGAATTGGAAAAGACAGAGGCGCAGAGTATGATAGACTCGGCTTTGAAGCCAGATTTTGAGAAGAAAGCTAATCGACAAAAGAGAACGATCTGTATGAAGTGCGGAGGATACGGAGGATACGGAGGTGGAGGATATGGAGGAGGTGGGTATCCTAGTGGTGGCGGCGGAGGTGGTTACTGTCCTACTTGCGGTGGCGGCGGAGGAGGTTATCCTAGTGGTGGTGGTGAGTTATGGTCCTAATCGTGGACGTAGATAACATCAATAGACAAAAAAGGTAAGAATCTTCTCTCGATCGTACTGGCAAATATTATTTATTCAATCACAACGTTTCGACCCTTCTTTGAGTCCTTATCAAGTGATCTAGATATACATAGAGAAGAAATACAGTACAGAGATTAATACAATAAAAAACAAAATTACTTTTTCACTAACAATATTACAAAATGATAAAAAGAAGCGAAACATACTTGTAAAAATAAAAATAAAATTATAATTTTAAGATGTCAAGAACGAACATAGTGTCGGCTTGACAACACGTCAAGATTCAAAGAAGGGTCGAAACGTTGTGATTGGATAAATAATATTTGCCAGTACGGTCGAGAGAAGATTCTTACCTTTTTTTTCAATTCTGTCTGGCGATTCTTAAATATCTACGTTTTTATCAATAGACAAATTCACTTACTAACATTAATAACATTTATTTATACTCAAGTATGAATTTTGGAAATAATCGACCAAACTAGCAGGGAAAATCGTTTATTTAATTTCACGACGTTTCGACCATATGGTTGTGGTCCTTAAATTAAATTGAAATTGTGAGACAGCCTGTCTCACAATTTCAATTTAATTTTAATTTTGACTTGTATATTTTTACTATAAATTGATTGTTGCCTTATGATGAGAGTTAATTTTTACTAATTTTATTTTTGCACTTGAAAAGGACCACAACCATACTCGTATAGTCAAAACGTCGTGAAATTAAATAAACGATTTTACCTGCTAGTTTGGTCGATTATTTCTAAAATTCATATTTTAATACTAGTGACTGTCATTAATAACTGGAAATATATTGAAGTATGTATGTTCGAAATCGCGTCGTGCAAAATTTTTCCGCTATTTATGCTTTTTTGCCGATGTAAAACTGATCTCTCTCGATAAAAAATAATGTAGCATTTTCAATTTTCTAGTTAGTATCTGAAAATATAAATTTTCGGAAAAGAGAGGAAAAAAAGAACTATAAGCAAAGAAAATGGACAATTATATTTTTCAGTTGATCTAAAATTGATTTCAATAAAATCTCAATTTAAAACTTGTTTATAAAGTTATTATTAAAAATCAGAAAAATTTTATGACAAATTTTAAACTCTTTTAAGTTTCATTGAAAAATGTATTTCCATATTGATAAAATGAAAATAATTGCAGTTAAAATTACATTTTTCCGATAGTTTTTTTTTGAGATCTATATATGACATCAAGATTGTTTCTAACTATAATATATAATTAATATAATCGTTTGTCTATATATTACTATAATTATGTTACATATCGACAATAATAATTATCTAGTTGCATCAAAATATTGTATTAGCTATTGCGCAAACAAGTTATTTGTTGTTTGCATGTTTCTGGGAATTAAAATACATCTTTGATCGCGCTGATTTTTTTTTTTTAGATTTTTCAAGTTTAACAAGCTGCATAATCTTTTCAATTTTTGCATATGTAATCTTAATTGAAAAATAAGTTATAAATCGCGCATGTTTTTACATATATTGTTCTTCATATCATAAAGAAATTCAGTTAAAAAACCGACTGAACACAAATAAAAAAATTTCAAATGTTTGATAGGTATTAAATAAATATCTTACATATATGTATAAGAAAAATACTAATAACAAGGTATTAAATAAATATCTTACATATACGTATAAGAAAAATACTAATAACAAGATACTAATAATAAAAATTTGCTGCTTATCTCAGCTGAAATTTGCAAATCAGGTATAACAAAAAACTTAATAGAAATATAACATTTGAAGTATCGCATCGTAACTGAATATTAATACATTGCTATTTCTAAACCTCATTAACGCATAACACGGGCACGCTTTGTTTAGGACATGTAGCAGTTGTACCGGTTGTAATAGTACCAGTACCTCGTCGTATTACAGGAGGAGCAGGTCATTATCGTAGAGGCGGCCACGGACAATATTATCCAAGCGGCGGCGGCGGCGGCTGTAACACCTGCGGGTAAAATTCTGTCTCTTAAATGCAGTGATAAATTGCGTAAAAAAAAAAAAGACCATGCAACACATTTATTAATTTTTATCAAATTTTTTGTGTCCTTAGTGGCGGCGGCGGCGGCGGCGGTTCGTATTCCCAATCTTCTGCTCAAGCTTCGGCCTCATCTTCTTCTGGAAGTTGGTGGGTATTCTATTCAAGATGATTATTTCATATATATTATTTATCGATAGCTTATATTTACAACCAGTTAAAACCGCTATTTTTTCAGGGGAAAAAAATGAACAAAGCATATATAAATAATCACATAAACATATTACCATTAATGATTTATGCTGCCTTCATCTTCGATTCTACAGTATGTAAAATTTTTCAAATACTTCGTATCATCACACAAAAACACTTAATAAGACTCTCAAAATATTGTAACGTAACATATTCTTTTGTACAACACACACTTGTATTGGCGCGTTGTTAGTCGTGAATAAATAAGAAAAATTAATATAAAATGTACGTTTCGCTATTATTCGGATGTAAATGTATTCCTATATAGAGGTAATTATGTGAGGTACGCGATTATAATTTTTCATTAATCTTCAACGGAAGAAGCGCTGCTTGTTAATGAAACATGCATTGGACCTGTATTTTCCTCGTGGCTTTAATAATCTATTAATTCCTATGTTTCTTGATAGAATTGCACTTACGATAATAAGATAATAATCCGTCATTTGCACGCACGTGTATACATTATTATTAATTTTTTTTATTAATCCGCAAACTCGGAAAGTTTTCCTACTTTGAAGAGAAGAATCGTCATGCTTTGAGAGAAACATTAATTAACAATCTCTTATTCTTATTTACCTTCTAGAATTTTTTTACATTTTGTCACGATTTAGCTTGAAAAATATTCAAATAACTATCTTCTAGATTAGAATAAAAAAAGACTCATAATACACGTGAAAATATTAGCTTCGCGATGCGAGCGATAAAGTATCATTCTCCGAACATTTCGCGAGCTGTAATGCGTACTCTCGAATTCGCACTTTATCACGGCGGAACTTGTTCCACATTATCAGCCCGTTGTAATTCACTAGAACTAACACCGCACCTGACAGCGGCGATGGCGACGACGACATTGCAATCTTGCTCCGGCTATTTTCCGCTCTTTTCTCGTTTCGCGAGATCGGCTTCGTAAGTAACTCGCGCGCGTTTCTATCAGCGCTGGATCTGTAGACACCACAATCTTCTATATAACTGGCCTCTCTATAAATACGACCGGTATACGCGAGAGCACTGCAGCATCATTTCAACGATGCACCGGTTCGACTGTCTGCAATAATAATTATGGCGCGAAAATGTCGGGTGAACTTATAACGGTAACGTTGCGATGCTCCTCTCATCACCTTTCTCTCGCAGCACAAAATAGAAAGAGGTTTCGGAGAGGATTATTCGGAAATCTGATTTTCGGTGGCAGAATTTGTCGAATAAGCTGATGATTCGCTAACTTTATCGGCAAACCTATAATTAATCATTGAAAGTAAGAATATTGCATTCCGAGTGTTATGAAGACAGGAATTCGCTTTTCATGATTAAAGTGATTTATTCGCTCATTTGTTACGTGCGTCAGCAACTTGTCATTTTTTCCTGTCAATTTCACGGCCGTGGCTATACAACAATTACGGATTGCGTCTTACATTCTTCAGAATTTTCTTTATCTACATCTTACTCACGATTCTTACTATCTCTTTCATTTTCCCCAAGATTCTACATTAGAAAGGATTATTATTAAAATAAAGGTCAGATTCCGCCCCAAGGAAAGTTTGATTAAAAAAATCAGTACATAATAGAAATAAGCATGTAAGATAAGAATAGTAAGAGAAAAACAAACATTTCAAGCAAAATGTCCGCGTTATTTACAGTATTGAAGAACGCATCATTTTATATCATTTTACACAATGTATATAATTTTACATACCATCTGTTTGAATCGAAAGAGAAATCTATTATATATAAATTTTTACAAAATTAGAAAAAGTGTAGTTTCCTTTGAAACAATAAAATTCCATCTAATAGCTGAGCTATAAAAAATGGATAGATTTTAAAATGGATAAATTGTAAAAGCGTGCATCACACACTGACCCGAAGAAAATGTGGGTCTACGGGTCATCGAATACTCATTGAGTCCGATCAATCGTCGTGAGATGCAAGTCGCTCGGTTTCTTCTTCTACTTACTCTAAAGTGTTAACACATTCGCGCGTATTTTCTGGTCGGCGAACTCGTGAAGTTCGTCGCGATCACGAGTCGCGTTACTGCTGAGAAAAACTGGGTGTACCAGCAGCGGGTTATAAAAACTCACTCGGACAAGTGACGTAAATCTGGTATGCCTCGATTCCTCGAGGAACAACACTCCAAGTGCCAGAAATTCTTATTATTAGTGCTACAAGGTATTGAAGATATTGTATTTAGATATAGAAGTTTTCGCCAAGCGCCATTGCATTTCTAAATGTTTTGTCATTTGTATACTTAATAACGAGAAAGAAACAAAATATTAGTGCATTTAAAGTTTTTTTACATGCACGCTTTTATTGCTCATTAATATTAATATCGTATTTAAAAAACGTAGACATAGCATATTACATCCTATATTTATATGGTTAATTACATGTTATTTAAAAATCAATAAATAGTTATTAAAGATATAAACTGTCTGCTTCAAATAATAATACTAATCAGAACTTATTAATCCATATAATGAGATGAGGATGTAGATTTAATCAATAATTTATCTCGTTATAAATCCCATGTTATATCAAAATGTCAAAGCGTCGTTAACTTTATCATCAAAAATGATCATGACAGGTTAATAACTGTCTTTAACTATAACTCAATATACTAACTAATTCATCAAGATTGATAAGAAAATCGTTCCGGCTAAAACCGGATTCGTGCTACGGTTAATTAACGTATTATATCGACGAATAACAAGTTATTAAGCGACGAAGAACAAAAAGATCATAGATCATCAAGATAATTGAACTGTCATTTATAATATAAAGGTGTGTATTAATAAAATAATGACGAAATTATATATAGGAATTGTGTACTATTACAAATACAAATACAAGAATCTTTGCTTTGCACACAAATATTTCACGAAAATATCGTAAGTAAGATATTTGCCGACAGAATTTATTTAGTCTTTATTGCTCTTAATGATCGAATATTCCGAAGCAAATATATCTGGCCATTCGAAACATTAATCACTGTCTCTTATGTAACTTAAAATATTTTCCATATTACTATTCGTTATTTTATTTTTTATAGAATACATCAACATTATCGATGAATTAAGCTTTACTATAAAATACGTTGAACAGGTGAATAGACCGCTTACTAGTTACATCCGCCACAAATACGAAAATAAGTGATCTAATTTCACTCAAAATACAAAATAAAAAATATATGTAATTACCATTAACCTTTGCACTCGTGCATTCAGTCACATCCTGCGCCTTTCATCAAATTACAATTCGACAATAATATACATGCCAAACTTTTATAAGCTCATCTTATCATCACATGTGTAAACACAAAATAAAAATATTTTAAATAGATAAGATTTTCTTTATATATTAATATATTTTTTAATAGAAAATGCAGGTATATTTATTAATTATTAAAAATATTTTTCTACATTTCTATACATCAAATTATTATTGAATTGTATTATCTACTATATATCTTATCTTTACATATACACGTGTCAAATATTTGAACCGAGCATCTCGAATATCAGATATCGTTATTTTCCATATATATAATTATGTGTTATATTTATTATAAGGACAGAACTGAAGAATAAAATTGCTTCGATATTTGATAAAGTTGACGTTCTCTAACGAAAGTTATAATCTTATTTATTTACTGAGAATAATCGAATGATCGAATAATGGGACTTCTCGTAATAATAGTTATATACAGTAGTTGAATATTAATAGCGCAGCGCCGGACACAAGTGACATTTTATTTTAATACAGTGCGCTGCATATCTGCATACATAAAATATGAAATACGTCAAGTGATGTGGTTCGTTAAGAGAGCAAGCCTGGTCCGTTGAGCAAAATCACCTGTTAGCATTCGTCCAGCATCGGCGCGATAATCGTAATAATAACGATGGCAATTGGACGGGATGAAATATCGCGTCGCGATATCTTCTACGACTCGATGCCGTGTGACTCAAGATCGCCGGCGATTAGAGAGCACACGACACCAGGCTTTAATTTAATCCCCTGAGGGAGAGCCTCTCGGGGGATCGTAAAAGGAACCGGTTGCGTCGCGTACGACTGGAATCTGCATAGAAAAGCCCGGTCGGTGCATCGAGTTGATGCAACGCGCGAGAGCAAACGACGAGCTTTCTCCTCTTCGAGCTCGCTGGAAAAACATTTTCCACGCTGTCGCGTTACATTTGCATACACAGAGGCGACGATTCTGACGGCTCTAAACGAGAATTCCGTGCTAACCGATTAGCATGCAATAACTGCGTGTCCGACCGTTTTGCGCGTGCCACTTTATGAACGTTTCGAGGAGGATCGGGGTCGTCGTCGCGGAGTTTTCGAAGGTAGAAGCGACGCGACGTGTCGCGAAAAATGATGTTCGCGAGGGAAGAAAAAATTGGCAAGAGCGCGTCGAGAAGCGCATCGGAAATCGGTGGAGATCTAGACAGATATTGGCGACCTTCGTCGATGATCCTATTCGGCCTGTATTACAATAGAGCCATCCTGCTTGGCAGAATTGCAATTGATCTACTCGCGTCGCGTTCTTGACGTAACGCACATGAGCTGCATGCGAATCGGCGAAGCGCGAGTGCTGACTAGCATCAATCATTCGCACTTGCTTTAACAATAACATGCCACGTTGTATCAATTTTGCGATTACAATTCCATTTTAATCCTGAGTCATCAATAATTTCGATGAATTACCTCTTTTATATGCTTGTTGATACTCAAAATTGCATCTGCTTCTTTTTATTATTATATTATTGTGAATTTTTGCGGCGCGTATTCGCTATTATATATATATATCATTCATATAATTATATATGATTATAGAAAAATATTTATACATTATATTTATTCTATATATTTGCACAACGCAAAAAATTATATTAATCATTTTATTCATAATTATGTGACAGTATAAACATATTATTGTTTGTTACAATATTAATGGTGATATTAATTTTTTCGTATTTTCTTGAATTTTTTATAAAATGATACTCTATATTTTGTCGTTGAAAATGTAATTGCACATTAAAATCCCAATAAGGTATATTGTCAATATGCACTAGCGCAAGCCAGAGAGTACATTTAATAGAGACGGAAATTTAATGCACAAGATCATATACGTATGTATATATCTGATAATATACGTATACATCTAGGTGACTACGCGTTACTTATCTTCCCTACCTTGATTCGATCAAACGGAAAAGGGGTGACGATCAACTATGATATATTATGATTTAAGCGACTATTATATCGCAAAATAGAAAATGACATAGTTCAATTTTCCTCTCTCTTGTCATATTATATCTGGAAAATTTTGATTATAAATTAAGATTATCGTAAAATGTTAAACTCTCATGTATTATAACAGATTATTCAATAAATTAATATAACATGTATCTATGCTTCGTGAAATTTTATTAACAAATAATATTTGAGAGATCTCTCTCTTTTTTCTTATCTTTTATATATATTTTCTTCTCATTGTGCCTATAATTGTCATATAATATTCAATTAATAAACAATCATATTCAAGGATATCTATATATTACTAAAACAATTTTATTTTGTATAATATTTAAATATATTGTAAAATATTTGTAATATATTAAACATATATATATATATATATACAATATTTATATAATAAATATTAAATACATTAAATATTAAATATATTAAATATACATTGAATAAAGTATATATATATATATATATATTATATATATATATATGGAGTGAAAATATTGAACGACACATAAAAAATGATTTTATAATGAGTTAGAAATTTCTATTTACGAATCAATCTACATCGATACTGATCGACTGATGTTTACTTGGAAAAAGTGGATAAAGTACAACTCATTGCAGAAGTAACTCGTTTTGCAGTCTATCAAGGTAGACTAGTAGAAATGGCATAAAATGGAAAGTGACGTAATTTTAAGTCTCCCTCGAATGCTATCACGCGAGCAAGCGAAGCTAATAGTGCGACTCTCGTCCTGTCATCACCTGTACGAAGAAGCGCTTCCCTGCAGTAAGCACGCGAGGGTCAAATAGTGATCCTGACCTTTTCCCCCCAGGATACGTCAATATTCTCGAGGCTTATGCACGCCGCGATAAGATGGTATTAAGAAGAAAGAAGGAAGAAAAAGAAAAAATGCAGACTCCATTTCAGCTTGCAATAATAATTATAGAAAATTGCTTAATTATGGCTTCAATTTGCTTAAATATGAAAATTGCTTAAACTAATTATAGTCAACATGCTTGTTGCGAGCTTCTCACAAAAAGTCTCTAGAGGAAGAGCATTTCTTCTGTCATAAAACTATCTATTATTATGTCACAAAGCTCTATTATTAAGTTGGTTATTTTAACTGAGGTTATAGATTTGATCTGACAACACTGGCTTCAAATTAGAGTTGTTAATATATATTTATTTCGACCATGCGGATTGTAGTCCTTTTCAAAAATACAATTAGAACTTTAACGAGTTACAGCATTTCGTCTTTAAGATGTAAGAGCAAATTATGATTCGGAGAGATTTAACTTATGTCACCATAATAAAAATATATATCGAGTTTCATTTGTGTCGTCATACCTTGACAGAACACATTGTACGGTGTAGTATGGTGACATAAGTTAAATCTCTCCGAATCATAATTTGCTCTTACATCTTAAAGACGAAATGCTGTAACTCGTTAAAGTTCTAATTGTATTTTTGAAAAGGACCACAACCCGCATGGTCAAAACGTCAAATAAATATATATTAACAACTCTAATTTGAAGCCAGTGTTGTCAGATCAAATCTATAACCTCAGTTTTTCATTCCTGGCGAACGAAATTAATTTTTATTGGTTATTTTATTTGATTTACTGATCCAATGATAAAACATTTTTACTCTTATTGTTAGCTACAAGAAAAGTCACACCATTTAATATTCTTACTTTGAGATAAAAAATTATAAGTTAAGAATCAGAATATTTATTCACGACGTAAAGAAATATTCAGCTGATTTTCAACTTATAATATATATAAATAATGGATCGTATTTCATATTGATTTCTACGTGTACCTCGACAGTATTTGTCTGAATTATGTTCTTCACGATAACGCGCATTTACACATTCTTCTTCGATCTAACAAGCGACGACCACAAATCTCGCATCTATGGCTATAAAATTAGAAATTACCATGCTTTACCTAGCTTAGTCATCTATTAAACGAGATATTAACATTTTTTTTCATCATAAGAAGTGTTTTATCAAGAGGCGCGCAGTTTACATCAAAATATTGTGCGACTTGCTTATGACAGCTCACTTGTTTAATTAAATTACCTTGTAAAACAAGATAGATAATATATATGTATATATCGAGACGAACGAATGAACAAACGTTTGTCGTTGAACGCTGCAATCCTTCATCTCGTGTGGAATAAAGCAAGATAAAATATTTCAGTAATAAAAGAATTTTTAAAAAACATAAATGCATCTCATCATCCGGGACGAGGGTGTCTCGTAAAAAGAAAACGTACAGACGTTATTATGAAAGGGAGCCAATGAGCTGAACGGCATCAGCTATATAATGACACGAATACAAGAGACTTCGAAAGATGAAGCTTCACGATCCGGGAGAGAAGAAAAGAAAGCGATACGGTTAACGGTAGCTCGCTTTGTTAAAAAGAAAAAAATGAGCTTTAACAGCCTGAATCTCTTACCGAAGTGAGTAAGAACACGCGACGTTTTAATGCCAATCTCGGTTAAGCGTCGTTTATCGTCCGTCGTTGTTGCGTTGTCGTATTTCAGAGAATGCTTCATTACTGCAAGACGATTTCCGACAAAATCTTGCTTACTTCATCATTGCGGAAAGGAAAGGAAGACCCGTCACCTGTCTGGCGTGTGTCGTCTTTTACAAATGAAAAGTTCGTTGTCACTAACGGAGCTTCGAAAATGTCTTTTTTATATTTAACAAATGTGTGAGATGCGCGATAGATGATTCCGAAGTGAATTGTCAAATCATGTAATATTATATACATTGATTAAACATGCAAAATATATAAGCACGTGATGAAAGGTATGCAAAAAATATTCGACGAGTAGATAACTATCAATGATTGAGCGAATCTTATTCAATGATCATGACCTTCAATCTTTAAGATGCGTTTTTAAATCTGTACACTCTGAAGACAAATTATTAAATTATTAAATATTTATTTCAATACTGCCTAATAAATAATTTATTTGAAACAAATAAATATTTATCCTGTTTTTAAAAGGATTTTATTATATCTAATAAATATTTTTCACATTAAATCAATATTATTAGTTTCAAATAAATGATTTATTGAAATAAATATTCATTCGAATTCAATAATTTTTTTCAGCGCAGTGCAAATTGGGAAGAAATAATGCAAGATTTTAAAAACCACGAGCAATTTACTCACTTGCGTACTTAAAAGCAATATGTAAGCGATTTCGTCCTACAATTTATACCATTACATTTATGTAGAAAATTATAATGCACGGAAAATTATCCGTCTACGCTGCCAGACTTCAAAGTATCACTTTATTAACAGACCAATGTTTAAAATATTAAAATGTTGCAAAAACGGAACATCTACCCTGAAAAAGGAAGATCGATTCCCTCGTGAGTATAACGTTTGAGATAACTTTATACGGCTTATGTAAAATACGACGATCCGATCGCGCAAAACCTATCATCATTATAAAAGGCAGGAATCGTGATAAGTTGCTCTCGTTCGGCTCGATTGCCGAAAGTAAAGGAGAACTGGATTTTTTGTCCTGATATTAACGGAACAGCGTTCCTGAATCCGCTGCTAACCCCGAGGGGCCTCTCGGCGGTACCAGCCAGAGGGTAGGGGACCGTACATATAAAGGAGAGAGCCCCGTGTTCCGGGGGCCCAGTACCGTTCAAAGATGCAGGTTGGCGGAACGCTGCGTGGTACCAGGGCCATCTCCCTTCTGGTACTCCTGATACCTCTCATTGGCTATGCCTGTGAGTAAAAGAAAAGAACGACGGACGTTCAAAATTCCCGCCCGGACACGAGTATCGATGTGTGACACGATAATGTAGAAGGATCAGTGTGATGTTGTGCAGTGATCGTAATTCGGGATTATTCGGGGTGCGCTTTAAAGATTTTCGCCGCTAAGGGACGTTGCGAATAGTATAAAATTTGAGGATATAATAAATTATACACAAAACGCGCAAATTTCTTTTTCAAATACACCACAAGTCGAATTAAAGAAAATGTCTTCCCCCTATAAAAATTGAAGTATCTAATTATGAAAGTGAAATTTAAAGAATTTTACTTTGAATTAAGAACTTGGAGCAAGCAAATCTTATTTTAACTGCAAGCGGAGTTTATTTTATCCGAAAGTGGAATTTGAGTTTAATTATCGAGATTTTTAACTAAAAATAAATATTGCAAAAAAGAAAAAATAGTGTTTAAGAAAGTCAAAATCAAATTTTTATTGAGAAAAATTCAATTTTTATTTTATCAAAGAATCTATAATCGCAGAAATGGATAATTTTTATGATATATAGTTAATAAAATTTATAATTATATGTTAAAAATTATGTAGAAATAAAATTTTTAGAATGTATGAAAAAGAATAATTTTCAACTAATTGTAAGTTGAACCGAATTCTGATACGAAGCTAAAGAGATAAAGAAGCAACACACACTTTGAGGATTATAAAAAAATATACATTATAAAATATATATTTAATATATAAAAAATTATATTCATTCCCTCTTCTTTTAGAAGAAAAATAGAATAAATTGTTTAAAGACACTAAAAAAGGGATTCAGTTAAATTAGAAGTTATCACTTGCGATCTACGCAAATGGGACCTAATTGAACGCTTGGTCTAGTTAATCCCTATGTATAGGATTAAATATCCGCATTGCTATCATAGCCAATAAGCTCGCCTAGTCAAGTGTATATTTCTGGCGCGATCATCCGTATCAAGCGTACACGCCGTTTTTTATCATCGTTTATTCTCAACAAGCAGTATTCGATCTTTCTTCTAGATTCGAGTCCTCTTCAATATTTACCCAATATTCCGGGTTACGTTCCCGTTTATATAAGATATGGAGATGAACCGTTGGATGAAATAAATCCCGATTTGGCAGAGGCATTCGGAGAGACGTCAAATTCGGCTAAGGTATTAATAATTTGATATATATACGTTTAAATTTTAAAACAGATAATAATCCTTAAGGTTCGCCAGTAATAATTAATAAAAATCTTTCCTCAATGGTAAAAGTCGATCAAACTGGCAATCATTTATTGTAAATAATTAGTTAAAATACAACGTTTCGGCTGTCATTGCAGCTCTTTTCAAGTAAATCTATAAAAAGTTACATAAAAATAATTATAATTTTAATACACTTCATCGCAACAATGAATTTATAATTATTTGTTGCGATGAAGTGTATTAAAATTATAATTATTTTTATGTAACTTTGTATAGATTTACTTGAAAAGGGCTGCAATGACAGCCGAAACGTTGTATTTTAACTAATTATTTACAATAAATGATTGCCAGTTTGGTCGACTTTTACCATTGAGGAAAGATTTTTATAAATTTTAAAAGTATGAACAGCTGTTGCTAGTTATAATAATGAGAGAATCGTCGATTTATTTAAATATCACGTAAATTAAGAAAGAGTTTGCAGGGATGTTAATTTCGTCATACTGTACAGAGTTTGCAGAAGATAGATGATCACACATTCGCTCACGAATCTGATGGTTTTAAAGACGAAGATATAAATGCATTTCTGGAAGACTCAGAGAAGAGTCATCCTAACCCACTGCGTACTAGAGCAGCTGAGAGTCGTTCATTTGCCACTGCTAACAATGATGAACCGGGAAACAAACCAAAGCTTCTATCTATCTACACATTACCTAATGATTATGAGAGCAGACCACGCAGACGTTATCAAGGGAGAAATAGAATGAAGAATCGGAAACCACCTGCCTTTAAAGTACGTTTATTCAAATACTTGGTAATTAATTGCTCAAATATATTTTTACCAATGTTTTAAAAATTTTTTTTTTAATTGAAGAAAAGAGATGCTTAGATGACGTTCATTATTTTCAAAAAGTTTTGATAAAGTATGCAAGTGATGTTACAATGCGCGGATAAAATCTCATCGATGATTCAATGATGAACATTCATCACTTTGCTTTTATCATTAAAAATAAAGATTGCTTCATGTAAATTGTATCCGCGACAAACAGCATGTTCTAAGAAAAGGAATAGCTAATTTGAATATATCGCATTTTTCGATTTCTGCACATCCATCTCGTTTGACATCCGTATATAATCTAAAAGAGAAATCTCTGTGAGTCACCTAACGCGTCGTTTGTCGTTTTATCGATACGCAGCGACGTATTCAAAGATTTTATCTAAGCATGATTGAACTTCACAAGCGAGTTTATGATGTGTAAATGAACAAACAGTTCTTCAATTTCTTTTTTTATTACATTGCAAAATATAAATTCCTGAATAGATTGATGGCTTCATTTAATCGACTTTTTTAAAACTTCAAATAAATTATAAAATAGAAAATCAGATAAAATATAAAATATCAATTAAAAAAAATATATATATATAACTTAAATTGTTATCATTTAACACTATTTTACATTCTGCATGTATATTTCATCAAATCCACATGATAATGAAAATTTAACAATTTATTTTATATTTTATCTCTATGCGTTGCATTCAACATGAACAACCTTTCTTCTAAATTACACACTCTATTTATTTTTTTTCTAATTTAAATCCATAATTAATATATAAAAATATAGATAAAAGCCTATCAAAAATACATTATTTTTATATAAAATAAATCAAGTTTATATTAAACATTTTATCTATTTATTATAGGTCAGCCCACTTTCGGAGGAGGAAAAAGAGGAGCTAGAAAAATTAGCGATCGCAGTTGAAAAAGAAGAAACCAAACCGAATGAACTCTACATTCCAAATCCTAAATATTTCGAACCACTACCTGATAGGACACACAATTTCGTCGCACCGTTAAAAGTACAGAATCCACTCAACGAAGGTTTGACAGATCTATCGGAAATAACTAAACTCGGAAATATTTCGAAACCTTCGCGTCATCATGACAATGCTGTATCTGAAACTGATGAATCGAATGAACCGCCTATTAAGGAGCAACGTCCAGCTACATTTTTGTCAAATGTAGATAAAATTTCGCCTATTGATTTGCCAGATGAAAGCAAAATCAGTGAAGATAAAACGAAAAACTCTACAGAACAAATTGATGAAATCGCGGATTCATAATTTATTTGTTCACAATAATTGAGATATATCACAATATCCGCATTATTTTTTCGAATTCTTTGAACAATTCAAATTTCTCTCGGGAAAAAATTTATATGAAGGGACACTTGTTACAATGTCTTGATTTTTTTAGTATTAAATGCCAATTAACTTTATTCTCTTAAAATTTCGTTTTCGATGTAATCACACTGTAAACTTTTTATAAAATTTACCATAAAAAATCTATATTCGTAAAAGAAATTATTAGAATAATCAAAGTATGATTATATAAATACTTTATATATCGTAAAGCAAGTCAATAGAAGTCACACTTGGATAAAAGAAAAATATTTCTATGATTTTAGTTTACACTATTTTTGACGAAAAGACTTGTTTGTGCTATCGTAAAGAATATTCCATCATATAATAAACATTACAGACTTCTTATTGATGGTTCTAATTGCTTCTGAATGTGTATAGTTTATGCATTGTAAATTATCTTAATTATACAATTGTCGTATGTGTAAAGTTATTTTAGAACTGTTTCTAATAAAATCTTATAAAAAGTTATTGCAGGTATTCACAATAAAAATTCATATATATCATTTTTTGCACCAGTCATTTATAAAATATGTAAAAAATTATACGTATATGTAAATAATATCGCAAATATTATAAGAGACAAAAATATCGTTGCTGTTTGTATCATTACAAATGATTCGATTATGTCACAATTTTGTTTTTAAATGTTTTCTATATCTTAGCACCTATTTTATTAATTAATAAATTCTTGATTAATTCATATTAATTCTATTATCAATAATTGTAATGCTATATTATAAGCCAAGCTAATATAATTACTCGCCCAATGTTTTTATTGTTTATACTTGATCCTGAAAATTTGGTGGATTACGTATATCATAATTTTCATGGTAAGGTTTCAAAACTAAAATAGCCGGAATAATGTTGAACTGGTTGTTTGTGGGAGTTGCGGTAGAGCTGTTTAATTTACGAAGTGTATCATTGTCGATGTTAATGTGCAAACTGCTCCTACGATCTTGCAAAAATCTCTTGCTCGAGAGAATAAACGTCATGTTTCCAAATGTACACGAATATGAAGGAACCTTCTCCTTTATGTCCGGAATGTAAATGTCTTGTACGGCATGACAGCGGAAGTTCCCTTGCTGAATTCCACTGTTCAATATATTGTTGAAAATGCCTTCGAATAGATTCGAAAATTTCTTATCAAAAGGTATCGGGTCTCTGGTAATCTTGTCAGAAATTCTCCTTTTCAAATACGTAGATTTATTTTGCACGGCATTTGCCACTGGACATCGTCCAGGATTCTTTTCAGATAATTGAATGTTAGCGATCTTCATTAAAGCGGCAGTTAAACGTTGGTAATTATTCTCGATAGGCAATTTTTCATTTTCATTGAGTTGATGATCCGTTGTCTCTTGATTCAAACATGTTGAAGTTTTTCCGGTTTTTATTGATACTTCAGAATCACTGGCTTCAGATGATGAGTTAAATCCTTCGGCTGGATAATTAACGTCATCACCTTTTGTGAACTGTCCATTTTCCGTAAAATTCACCGGTAATCCATCGCTATCCGATAGAATAAAATCCGCCAGTAGAAAGAAAATCATTAACCATTGTATCAGCATTGTTCTACAAAGCTAATAGGATTTTCTTCAAACACGACACTCGTATAAATTAGATAAATTTTTAATTAGCAAATTCTTTGTTAGAAACTGGTGTCTACAGCGAAGCACAGGTTTGCGGTTGCGATTGCGTCGCAGGAGACACTGACTCTGGTGAAAAAAGTAAAGCTCGCGTGAAGGCGTGTCGGGAGAATGACAAATTGGACTGTTATGTTGTCTTAGTTTTCCTGTGCACTGACCTTATCTCCTCCTCTCGAATGTTATTTCCGTACCCACGAAATTTGATCTTGTGTTTCTTCACTAAACCAAGGAATGTATACTCTTAAGGAATCGATAAAAAATTCGATTTAAAAAATTCAAAGCCAAATAGCTTAAACATTGATCTTCTATATATGTATATTCAAATATTATTTATTAAATTTTAATTTATAAACTGTAGTAAGTTTTATTATTTCATATATAAAATATTTCTCTCTCTCTCTTAAATTTAATATTATCATTAGCGGAATACTATTTTTCATTTGATTATTCTTGTACGTATATATATTAAAAGATATATTGTACATGTCGTGAATTTATTATTGCATCATATAAGATATTATTATTCAATTTATATTCAAGACAAATATATGTTAAAAATTAAATTTTGCAAATTACTATATATATATTACTATATATATATATATATATATATATATATATATATGTGTGTGTGTGTGTTTGTTTACAGAGAAATTTAATTTCTCTGTATATCTGTATATTTTTAATTAATCTAAAATATACTATATAATATTTTTACTATTTTTTAAATACTTCTTTTTAATTTTTGATTTTTATAATATATCAAATATTTTTATCTAATTTTTATTCTAATAACAGAGAGGATAAAGTATTATACAATATATAATCAAGAATATATACTTAAGATAATTTGATATATATTTTTAATACAAGAATTAATCAAATAAAAAATATATAATATTCTGCTATAATATATAATAATATTAAAAATTTGAAAGAAAAGTATTATATATATATATTTATAAAATAATAAAACTTATACTACATTTTATAAATTAAAATTTCATAAATATATATAAATATACATATATAAAATAAAAGTTAAAAAAGAGAGTAGATTTTGTATCCTCATCATGAATAAAATAAATGCAACATATTATATATGATCGATGAAGTACTGATGTTAAGTTATTTATATAAATATATCCCAGTAAGCAAGAAATATTTAATCAACATTTTATAATGTTGATTTTATATAAATTTTCTAAACGTTATGATATAATGTTTTATATATATATATAATATATGTTTAAAATATTATTAATAAATATTCTAAAAAAATTTTAACTGATGTTTTATAAATGTTTTACAAATATTATTTAATAACATATATTATATATATATATTCCTTCGCAATTTATTTACAGCATTCCGTAAGTTCCTAAAATATTGCGTTTATTATAAAAAGGAAAGAAAAATATTTGCAAATGCAAAAATTCAATGACAGGAATTGCATTGCTTGCGCAGTATAGATGCGCCGAACGATGCACTTTTACTTCGTCTAACTCCCTTCGCAACACGCGAAAAAACACATGTTCGTTCCTTGACTTGTCTGTACTCGTTAATCAACTTGAATACCAAAGAATAGATTTTTATATGCATAAATAAATGTGACATTGTTTAGTCGCGTAAATAAATGTGACATCGTTTTATATTAACAACAACAAAATTAGGTAATACAATTTCAATAATACACGAGAAAGTTATGTCATTGATTATTTAAATGTCTAAAATTCTTTTCTGTTTTATGCAAAATATATAGTTTATGTACTTAAAATTGCGAAAAATTAATTTCTCTCGTCATACGAAATATCGTTGACAAATAAAAACTATATTATAAGTATGCAGACTGATATAACCTCAAAATTAACCTATAATGTAATAGATTATTTCTGTTTTAGTGGACATATATTAATCAATCGACGATTATTATTCTAAAATAACATCGACATGGCTGGGCAACAACATCCTTTCTTATCTGGGTTTCCAAATGTACAGCAATCAGCTATGCGTACACAGTTTGGTGGTGGGCAAATGGTCTCTGGTTTAATAGGACCACAGCAAGGAAGTAAATATTTAGATTTCTTCTTATTATTTCTATATTTGTTTTCATTGCGTATATCTATGTGTCTTGATACTTAACTTTGTCACATACACATACAGCAGTGATGTTTTGTAATGTTTATTATGTAAAAAATTCAATAGCTCTAGACATACGACAATGTAGTTCTCATTTAAATGTTAGCAGAAGTTCTTCAAATATTCACACAATAAGGAAATTATTTGTGATAACCATAAAATAACTGTCTGATTAAAAAATATTGGTACAAAGTGAAATTTTATATGAGAAAGTGTTTAATAATCAAAATTATAGATTTCACACAATAAGGAAATTATTTGTGATAACCATAAAATAACTGTCTGATTAAAAAATATTGGTACAAAGTGAAATTTTATATGAGAAAGTGTTTAATAATCAAAATTATAGATTTTTATCGTTGCAAAATTTAAAGATTCTTCAGTTTTGGTAAATTATTTTCATTACTAGCACTTTAAGTAATCTAAATTCTTTGGAAAATTCGAAATCTATAAAATACATATACAATTTGGTGTAATGACTGATTCAAATAATTCAGATGGTGTGTAACAATTTAAAATCTTTTTTAATATAAAAATTTAAGAATAAAAGAAATCAAAAATCTGTGAATCAATCAAGAACTTTTATTTTAGATATGGTAAGCTCTCAGCAATTTGGCATGGGAGTGGGAGTTGGAGTAGGTGTTGGCAATGTCGGATCGAATGCCATGGGCATGCCAAACTCTCAACAAGTTTTGGCACAGCAGCAACAACAACAGCAATCCATCGCGATGCAACAACAAATGCAGCAGATGCAACAGCAACAATTGCAACTGCAACAACAACAGCAGGCTGCCATGGTTCAGCAGAATAATCAAAATAGTAATCAAGCCACAACACCACAAACTCCAGTCCCACCTACTCAGCCTCCAATGCAACCACAGCAAACTAAGGAAGTCAATACTGCCAGTTTATGTAGATGTGGACAAGAAACAGTACAAGAAATTGTCAACCGTACCCAAGAACTCTTCCAGTTTCTTAAATTGCTTCAACCACCTAATGGTATAATTCCTATAATGCAATAATAATCTCCTAATTATATTTTTAATTAAAACTAGTTAAAATGTCAATAAATATCTTTTTTAAATGTATTCATAAATGCAGGTACAAACCAAGGGGCAAGTATGGCAAATGATAAGAAGATAAAGATTTTCGACCAGTTGAGAATAATAAAAATGATGTTTAAACGTTTGAGATTAATATATGAAAAATGTAATGAGAATTGTCAACTGCAAGGCATGGAATATACACATATAGAAAGTTTAATTCCATTAAAAGAGGAATGGGATATGAAATCTGATGAGAAAAAGACTTCGGAAGCCTACAGACTTATCTGCGAAGAGAGCAAGGAAGTTATGGAGGTGAGAAGAATATTGAATATGTGAAAAAGTATTGTATACAATATATTATTGTTGTGTCAAATTTTAATAAAAATTTATTTTTTTTACAGCAAGTGATATTAAAAAATAGGCACATTAAGGAAATAATCGATCACTTAAGGCGCATTATCTCAGAAATAAATACGATGTTAAATATGCGTCGCTCTTAGATATATTAAAATGTTTATCTATATAATATGTGAGATAACTGTTTCGGCAAACAGTTACAAAAATGCATTTAACAATAAAATGCAGATTTTCTTACACAGTAATGTCTTTAATGATATTATTGTAACATTTACCTGCTCTTTTTTGTACATACCTTTTTCATTGATCAATATTAATGTTGCCTATATCTAAATAGATAATATCACCACTTCGCAGAATAGCTTCCGGTATCGTCCCCAATGGTGTTTTCAAATTCCTCACGAAAATCTCGGAACATTCCACATCGCAGCCTTTGAATTCACCCAATACACGAGTGTTTTCATGTAAATAAAATTCCACTTGTTTACCTGCAACATTTAAACATCAAATAAAAGATACTAAATTGTAATCTAAAAAATTCTTTATGCTGATGTTTATATTACAGAGAGTTACATGATATAATTAATATTCTTTTTTTAAATAAAGCTTACAATAAATCTATATAAAGTATTAATAAGCCATTAACTTTTTTTAAATAAAACTCAAAATGTCAGTGCATTACAATTATAATTATTCTTGTATGTATTTTCCGGCAGCTACATCTCCTATTAATGACAATTTAAATTTTGCATCTAAACATATTGCACGAATAGATTAGAAATCTCAATAAGGCGCCATATTCAAACAATTTCCAGAAAATCATGTGCAATCACATTAAAGTGATATACTCCAATATATCATTGTCATTTCCGGCGTGTTGGAAAATACGACAGAAATGGACTCAAATTTTAAATTTGATTAAAATAAGATAGTCTTCGCCAAGATTAAATGCATTTTCTTACCGACAATGCCAGTTAGAACGCGCAGGAAACGTTCACGTAAAAATGCACGAGCTTTTTGCTTGTCCGGAGCTGCAAACTCCAAATCGGTTGCTTTCGTGCTCGAAGTTACGTCAGTTTTCGCTTGCTCGATCATTTTCTATCAAGAAATGATTCTCTGACTCCGCGAGAAAATAAATAACGTAACGCACGAGATATTGGAATCAATATGGCGGAGTCAACACATCATCTGCTCTTTGCAGCCGTGCACTATGCTACCCTTTCTACACTTGATATAAAATAGAACATATACTTAGGTGTATATATATATATTTTCATTTTTCGTTTAATCTGAGCAAATATATTTTAGTTGTGCGAGCGAAGCAAAGTTATATTATTCTTTGCATTTTGCATGATATAATAAATCTTAAAAATTGCAATGCATATATGCATACAAATTATTTATTGCAATCAATGCATAAAAATATGTTAATTAATTATGCAATGCATAAAAATTCAATACTTATATCATTAACAGAAAATGCGAACAAAAAATAGAACTTTCTACAAGAATATTTTGTGATCAAAATACCTATATATAAGCTTTCATCAGACACACGTCTCCAGTTTCCATACATGTCCACCACGCTGCACGGCTCGATCGCGCGAGACTGATGATCTTTTGGATTAGGTTCTTGGCTGTGAAGTTAGGTTTCGTCGCCAATTGGCGACACCACTGCGCAGAGTCATGGGTCAGTGGTGGGGATTAGTCTCTTGCGAGACATGCAGCGTAATGGATGCATGAGACGTACACGTTTAATGAGAAGAACAGAAAGAGAGAGATGTTTTGCTGGCTCCGGTCATTCTTGGCTGTGAAGTTATTAGGTTTCGCCGTCAGATGGCGACACCATTACTTAAAGTAGCCTTGCAGTCTTGCGGTCAGTCACGCGCGAGATGTGCGGCGGCATGGATGGGTACACGGAGAGAATTTTCTCTTAGAATTTATTCTAAAAATCATGTTAATTGTGGGACAATACGATATTGGAAGAATTTTATAAGAATTTCTCTGATTAATATTTACCACAATAAAAATATTAATATGTACATAGTAAATTTTACTATGTATATAGTAAAATTAATCGAACATATTTTACATCTTATTGTGGTAGATATTAATATTTTTAATGTAGTAAATATTAATTAGAGAAACTCTTATAAAATTCTTCCAACACCATGTTGTCCCACGATTACCATGATTTTTAGAGTAAATTATAACAATAAGAGAAAATTCTCTCAGTGTATAGATGTGCAAATCTAATGGAAGCATATACCATATATATATATATTTAATCGCGAAAGATTCTTATAGAAAATATTCTATTTTTTTGTTCTCTGTTAAAGATTTAAATATTGAATTTTTATGCATTGCATAATTAATTAATATATTTTTATGCATGCATTGCAATAATAATTATTGTATGCATGCGTCGCAAATTTTAAGATTTTATTATCAAAGAATAAAGTAACCTTGTTTCGCGCGTAATTATATATTCGGTTAAATAAAATAAAGAAATAAAATATATATGTAAGAAGGAATAAATATATAAATAAAATATATAATAATATAAATATATAAATAAAATATATAAATATGTAAATAAAAATATATATGTATATATGTAAGGAGGAAATAAAAATATATATGTATATAGAAAAAGAGAGATATGTATATTATATATCAATCTTACGTATCAATGATACATATTTAATTTATTGGCATTAGATATAGTATAATAAAATCATGTAATTTTATATATGTAGAATTTTAGATAGATATAATAATTAGAAAAATATTATCAAATAAAATAAAAGAATAATTTTTAGATAAAATAATATTATAGTTCAAAAAAAAATGAAAAGAAAGTTATATAACATAAACTCATCATTTATTCAAATGATATGCGCGCATTTTCAATGTCACTTTTATTTATCAGTTTTGCTGTGTTACTTTTTTAACAAAGCATTATGCATATACAATTTCCAGACACATAAAATTTAATATGAAAGTTTTAAAAACAGTCTAATGTGAGAAATAATCTTGTATCGATAACCCACATTTTTCATGCGAAGTGTACGTAATTGTCACCAGGAAGAAAGCTTGGTGATCAATGCATATAATTATCATAGCGATATCTACTAAACACACTACTTTCTCGAGACCAAACATAGGGGCGACCCGCAGCTTTTTAATTTCAAGAGTCTACGCAATGTCACTTCATTCTCGTTCCGATCACGACGCAGAAACGATGGGTTCCCTCATCATCATTTTAATAGTCGTCACCGTATATTGCAGTGGTAAACAACTTAAGCTTCCTTCGATCTTCTAATTTATTTCGTCTATTTTAATCTTTATTTTTTTTCTTCTTGCAGAGACGCAATGTCGCACATCTCCAAACTTGAAAATTGCAGTTACTAAACCTGAAGACGCTGGACTCGTTGAAAAAAACAATACTCATGCGATCGAGAAGGGAATCTTCTGGAAAAATCTCGATCTACCTAATCACAAACCGATGCGTATTGAAGAGTCAAGGAGTCTGAACAACAAGACGAATAATAGAAAGTCACGACTTCTAGGTAGCTTAGCCTTTTTAGCTGGTCTCGGCTTCGGAGGATTAGCTAGCGCAGCGTCCTCCACTGCCAAGACCATCGCCAAATTGCCAGAGACGTCCTTTAACTTAAACATAGGTTCTAAAGGTTCACCTTACCTCGCTTATTACAATCCTTATTCCCTGCTACCTTATCCATTCTTCTTTCCTGGTCCCATCGGATTCGCGCCGATGATCAATGTGGCGAAACCTCAATCGACATCGCATAACGATCTAATGCCGCAAGTGATCAGCGTGTTTGACAATAGACAGTCGATCGATCTCGCGGAGGATAACGAAGAGTACCTAGATGAAGAGAAGAAGAAGTCTAAAAACGACAAGAACACGGACAACGGCGAGGATGATCGCATAGAATTGCGAGCCAAAGTCGATCGGAACGCGGAAGAGAAGGTAAAGTAATTTAATAGATTGCGCCGCGATGAACAAATAGAAATTAGAGCAGAAAGCCACGCAACGTTTTTATCTCGATCTCGCATCTGAGCGATTATTGTACTTTCTCAAAAGTCAAAAGTGCCGGCCTTTAATTACTCGTAAGAAACGGAATTAAAATTGTGAGGAAATATCCGTTTAAAATGTGATATGATATTTTTGATACATTATTATAAATATAATTATTCATTCTTGATGATATTTAAGTAAAGAAAAAAAAACGAGTTTAACAATTTTTCAATTATATATAGAGTGACGTGTTAAATAAATATCTTTTGAGTCTATCATCGTTCTATTAACTGACAATTTAATAATACAAAAACAGATTACCTTATGTATGTTCATATAATGATATAGTTATGCTACAGATGTTCATATAATGTTGATAATTTTGGTTTCTTTGTGTATATCATTATTCTATAGCTTTTATATATATATGAATTGCTAGATATATGCGTCTATAACTTTATTTGGGTTCGTAATAGTATTATAAACTATGCATTAAAGTATCGATTCATGTACAGAACTTACACGACAGACTACGCAATTTCATCATTATTTCATTTCTGTCATATTTTTCATCATGCTATTTTTAACAAAAATATTTTTTACATGTCTTTATTTTTATTTTTATTTTCTTTATTATTTTATTTATATTTATATTTTTTTTAATTTTATTTTGGAGTATATATAATACAGTTTTTGTTCAAAAAATTCTCTATAATGAATTAAATATTTTTTAAGCTAGATATTTATTCGATGTGGTTTATTGCACTTTAATGCGTATTATTGATGAATCTCGTTAGATACACGGGTGCAAAGAGAACCAGCAAAAATACGGCAATTCCTTCAAAGGATCGACCAGAGAGCGTGAAGATCTCCAAGTGGATGCCGACGATTCGCAAGCAACCTTGGATTTTCAAACTGTAAATATGACCGCCGCTGACAGGAATCAGACCGTGATAGAAAATGCAACTATGGCTTTGACAACAAGTCCACCTAGGATCATCTTCGGATCATTGAAAAACGATACGTTCCATTTTTTTCATCATCATCATTATAATTCCAGTTATTATACAGAACATCCGCCCTATTCGGGATATTACGGTGGGTATCCGCAGAACGTAAATCACGTAGACCTCACGACAGGTTTGAACCCTCATTATGATAATCAGATTAATTACAATTTACCGCATGAGCAACCAGCGAATTTTTATCACAATGACAAGTATTATACTTACTCTAATCTTAATCCGCCCTTTTCTGGACCATTCTCGCCCGATCAAGTAAACGAATATACCGGCCCGGATGTTAATCGATTACTACACCATCATTCACCGGAATATCAGACGTATAATAACGGTTTTAAACCTGTAACATAAGTCGTGTTCTCTTTTTATATTCATTAAATTCTAATTCGAATTGTGTAAAGTATAGATCGTACCTGGTGCACTTGTAAAAAATTAAAAAATCTTTGTTATACACTTATTATTCTATTATTTAAATCTACGAGACAAATAAGATCTACGAGAAATCTTAAGTTAATATAAAGATACGAAGATTTGTAATATATTTAAAACATAGTGCAATATTTATCATGTATTTTTTATAATATGATGAAATAAATTTTTGCATCTAGCTTGTGCAAGTTTAGAGAAGTACATGACATTTTTTCTATAATTCATAGATAGTTTTCCTGTATAACTTTACTTTTAATGCACATATTCTTATTTTTTCTACTAAAAATATATTAATAAGGATAATTATAATAAAAATTTTGAAATGCATTATGCATAATATTTTACAACATCCATCATTGTACTAATTAGGAAAAATAATTATTCACGAAATATTTGTAGCAGCAAAGATATATATTATGCTGTCAATTATTAAAATATATTATATTGTTTTTTCTCTAGCTGCATACTGATTCATTAATTAAATTCTTACCAATTTAAATATAATTATTTATTACTTTAATGTATTCCTTACATTATTTATAATATTTATTTAAATTTTTACATAAATATATAATGCTTTATAAACTAGTAATTTTATATACGGTTATACACATTATCAATATCATTTAATTATATTTGATAGAATCGTCTAAAGTTAATGAAAAATATCTAGAAAATAAACATGTACATACATGTTTTTCAAACAATGTACATTATTACTAAGAAAATTAAAAAGAAATTGCAAGACTGTATTAATTTATAAACTTTCACATTACACTATGCATATCAAATTCTGTGATCAAATTCTCTGACAATGTTATGGAAAACAATTCTGCGAAACGTTTAAAAGTATTACTCCATTACGAAAATGACCATTATGAGAAACTCACGCCCTTGATAATATAAGTTTCGACGCATGCAGTCACGCACGTAATTTGTTTGGACAATTGTTCGCAGAATTGCACAGTTGTTCGGGATTGATTTTGCGCCTCAAGTCGATCAATGAAATGATAATCTGCTAATGGTATTCGAAACTCGCGTTAACAGCATGGAGAGAACAATGACGACATTGTCAATCGGAAATAAATATCGGATAATAAATAAATGACTGTTCCGTCAGAATCCACCAATTGTACGTCATCGTTTGTAAGGAAGAAACCTGTTTTATTTTCGGACGAGTTTGGAGGGCTGGGCTCCTCGTCTATTTCGAGAAGGCCGCCACTGCTGGTATTGTGTGTCTAAAGACACTGATACTTTGCAGCTTTCGCGCGTAATTTTTCAACTGACAGATTTTCGCAATCTAAGTCGTACATCGACATCTAATTCGCGGCAATAAGTTGAGGGACACGTTAGGAAAGAACACGAACTAATATACGATTACCATTGTTTTTGCTATACATAACTATACTAAAGTTATACATATATAAATATATTAATAATATAGAAAAAAAATATTAAATTTATATAAAGACAGAGCATGTAGTAATTAGAAGGAAACTTGCAAAATAAATTAATATAATATATACAACATATGTTATATAAAAACAAGTAAAAGTATGTGCAAAAAATGCGGGAAATGTTTAAAACTGTTCAGCTATGATAATTGAGTGATTATATGTACTTTGCGTAAATTGTCTTCGACCTGAAAAGCGTGCGAAAAATGGTTTTACAGACGGGTGGGCCAATCGCGAAACTCTGAGGGGATTACAGTAATTTCCTTCGATCGTTACACTCTCGGCGTGACGTGCGTGCATAGGACACACACAGAGAGTGGAATATGATATAATGGCATATTACATACATACGTTAGCTGGCAATTCTGTGGATTTTCGCGTATACGCATGCAGATAGATATATGTGGGTGAACTGATACAAGACGCGAGGCATTGCGTGCGCGATTGTGCAATAAACACGAAAGAGAGGAAATGATCGACTTCCTTTGTGGAAGTGTCGTTTTCTTTAAAAACGATGATGCTATCTAACGCCACGTGGCCGATCAATTTAATGCCCATTTCTCTCGGACGTGTCATAAATAATCCCATTTCGGAGCACATGTATGCTCCGTACAAGAATATACATATCTAAAATATTGATTATAACGACTCAACTGGTTTCAATGCTCTTTATTAATTAACAATTTATAAATATTATAACCAGTCTGGATATTAAAGTATTTATGTGTCGCCAGTAAAGAATAAATTAAGAAATTATTATAACGACTCAACTGGCTACAATGCTCTTTATTAATTAACAATTTATAAATATTATAACCAGTCTGGTTATAATATTTATGAATTGTTAATTAATAAAGAGCATTGTAGCCAGTTGGGTCGTTATAATAATTTTTTAATTTATTCTTTACTGGCGACACATAAATACTTTAATATCTGAAATATGTTTTCTAACGAGTTATCGCACGAGTGGTTGAACAGGTTCGGCTGCCAATTGACATCCTTTCGACGTGTCGTCTCGTGAACTTTGCCGGTTTTATTCGTAGTACCTAACGTATTTTTGTGCATCGCAAATCTTACATGATTAACTTGGATGACATTCATAATGATTTAAAAAATGGTTTTAACTATTATCTTGCAACAATAAATATAGAAAAATTGTCAAACTGTAATCATTTTTAGTTTTAAAACTATCAAAACACTTTATTAATGTATACGTAGAATATGTAATAATTTAAAACATGTAATAAAGAGAGAGAGAGAGAGAGAGAAAATTAGAAATTTTTGTTATCTTAGTTAAGTTAAATAAATAAGTAACAACTGCACAATAATATTTTATTCTATTTTTGTTAAATAAAAAATACACAAGTGGAACAGTAGCAAATTTTACCATTTAAAGTGTCAAGTACCGTCCTTTAAAATAGACTCTATCGCCAAAATTATTAGATATCTTTCCAATCTATCATCTTTCTTCTTGCATTTTTTATGCTTATTCTCATTCCAGCTTTGTAATAAATATTGTAGGAATATTATTCTCTCTAAATATACTCTCTCTTTAGATTTTAATACATCTTTTAAACAGAAATGGAAATGATTCTGAAATAAATACTGATATATATACTTGAGATTAAATGATATTTAAAAACCCTGATTCTCAATTAATTGTATTATATATAATACATATCTATAAGAAATCGGGTCTCTTTAAATCTAAATATATACCGGGTGTCAGAGTTGAATGCCCTGGGATTTCCGGCCCTTGGCGTGTGCACTTCGCTTTTCCCCCTTCCCGGTCTTTTTTATTTTTCGTGTGAGCACTTACTCCACGTATATCCCTTTCTCCTACCCACTTTCTGTCGCGGACAATCTCGTTTTTTTCCACGCGAAACCCAATAGCCCTATATCCTCTAGGATACTCTCCAGGACTATTTCCTGCGAAGCTGCGCCGGTCGAGCCGGATGAGAAACCGCAAATGTAAAACCCCATGCGTAGCCCTGTCTTCCAATGACATCGTATATGCAATTCTGCATATGTATTCGCACGGGAAAGAACAATTACCGAACCCTTAAAAAATGTATAATTTGTATTACGCATATTTCAGATTCATATACATATATTTATTCTCCTGAATGGCGTAAGAATATTTTATAAGAGAAAAATTAAAAGAAAAGATTTTTACTAATAAAAATTTACACGTGAATGTTGTGTATCGAGAATATATATAATTAATTTTATAACAGTATAATTACATTTAGAAATAATAAAAATTGCACATGAGCGAAGCTACTTAATGAATAAATAATAAAAGCCATGGACATTGGAGTCGTCGACAATAGCCGCAATTTTCTGCGATTAAAGTAGCGATTTGGCGAAATCGTTGGGAATATTTTTATATATCTTTTTTCGATATTCGCGTTTTTTACGTACGTGGGATTCGAAAGGGCACTTGAACGAAACGTCGCAATGTGCACGCCGACAAAATATCGTCGAGTCGCGCGTACGCACGTGCGTCGTGCACACAGAAGCGAAACGGTTCGTTCGGTGTGGTAAATGCACCACGGTCGGGTAAGAACCCTGGCCTCGTGTATGGGGGACGACAGAGAGGAGAGACAGCTGTGTGGCAGCTGGCAGCGCGTGCCACAAACCTATGGGGTCTCTCCTTCGAACGCGGACGACGCGGACGGACGATGATATCCTATATTTCGTCGCACATAACTAACGGCAGGTTTTGAACAATGTGACGTTCCCGAGCGTCGTCGTGTATCTTCTAAGGTATATCAAAGGGAACTTAGCTGGCCAGCTACGAATTATCGCTGCCTGGTTACTTATCCGCGAGAGTTCGCGTAATAAAATTGTTTATGACGATTTTTACGATCGTAATTTGCTTAATGTGCAGAAGAAATACAAAGAGACTGTATCTCATGTTGATTTTCATAACGACATAATTCTAACTTGTATAAGTCTTTACTGATAAGTAATAATCCCGTCTAAGATAAGGAACGATGTAATAGAAGACACTGAGATTTCCTATGGTCGAAACATTATAATTGTGTTCAAGTTAATTTTCAGTATAGCACAGCATTTTTATGATAATATTTTTGATATGTACGACAATAATATTACTTATATATTAATAATATAATAATGACAAACAATATGATAATGAAGATTCTGTATAAAGATAAATTAATTACAATCATTTCCGATGCTACGAATTGTCAAATTAATTTTTCGAGATTGTTTTATATATATGATATTTTAAATATAATAAATGTATAAAAATATGCATGTATATTTTGATGTTAAAATTTTTCTTGATACAAGTTTGAGAAGATAAGGACGATGCGTCGTTAATGCCGAATATTTTTTATTCTATAATTCAAGATAATATACATTTGTTTAACGCCCGAAAGGTGCACTTTCCTCGCGAGTTTTTCACCGGTTTGAAAGAAAAAAGATCAGCGAGTTCAAAGCTTTCGGGGGAGAGCGTTTCAGGCTTAGCGAACATCTGCCGTCGTCTGTAACGATAATAATTCGAACAGCTGATGCTCCTTCGCAGACTATCGCCTCGCCTTGTAGATCCTCCGGATCCTCGGGATCGTTTTGCTTTGTTGTCCATTTGCAAGAGAAATTCTGGCAGGACAAAAGAAAAAGAAACTTATTTTTCTTACGTTACAATAAAATTCTTTTAATAATTGTTTCTAAAATTTTCGATAAATATTTTTCAAGATAAATATATTTTAATATTTATTTTTAGTTTATAAATGAAGATTTAATAGTTTCTGAACAATTATTAATATATTTCAAATACTTTAAAGAAAGAAATTTGATAAAAAATAAAATTCAGTTATAGTTAACTAAATAATACTTGGATAAAAAGATTATATAAATGTTTTTCAATTACATATTGTATGCTTATTTTTTCGTAACATTATGTAAACATAATTTTATGTCTATTAATAATTCAGCTTTTTTATAAATTAATTTACGTGACTATCATTGTAAATTTTGCTATTATGACTCGTATTTGTTCAACAGAATAAATTATAATTGTCTATGAAAGTGTGGGATCACATTCTCAATCAATATAGGAAATAAAAAATGTTATACACATATTATGTCAATTATTATGTGACTCAAAAAATCTAGAACATAATTATAATTAAACATATAATATACAATATAGCATATAAATACTTTAGAAAGTAAAAGCGATCGAGGCAATTTGTTCGCGTTAATACGAGCATCTGCACGTGAAATTATCTGTACACGTGGTGTTCGAGACACAATCGATCATCCGGACACGTCATTACCTCTTTGTGAGAGGCATCTCGTCGTTGAACAAGCATCGTCAAGCGTCGGCCGATCGATTTCACTTTTCGAATTTCAGCGCTCGTTTCCCAGGCGATCGCTGCGCGAGCACGTGACCAGGACGAGCCAATCGGAATGCTCGGCGGCGAGCCAGCTGGCAAACTGTAGCGCCGCGCACAGTAACCGCGAGAACTCAAACTCGACGCAGCATTCGCACGTGGGCCTTCGTCGGTGTCGGTTGCGTTTTTGCGCGCGCTCGCGGTCGCAAAGAGAGCGTCCGTTTTCAGCGCGTGGTGATTCGCTTATACACGCTACTCGTCCGAATAAAGAGGTGCCCGCAGCGCGTATTTTCTTTTTCCAACCGGCTAGAACAGTCGTTTCTTCCAAAGTGCGTCCGCGATCGCGTGGATCCCTCCCAAATTTTGCTGTGTAATACTGATTGTGTATCATCATTGGGATTATCACGACGGCGGATTGTGCTGCGACACGTACGGACACATATATACATACACACATATATATATACGTACATTTATATACGAACGGCACACAGCGAGACGGGAGTAAACATAGGTGAGTAATCTTTTTCAACATTGAGTTGATTCTTCGTGAAGGAGAAATATTAATTATTTTTAGAAACCATTATATTTTATTATATAAATAGAAATATTTCGAGGCATTACCGACGTCAATTTAGATTGATTCTCTAATTGTCTTTAAAGGAGTAATTAAATCGCGCGGCACGCTTTTTCTCTCTTCGATCGATCTATTTTCGATCGGCGCTCACCGTTCACCGTTATTTCTTTCGAAAATAGCACACGCTTGACTACCAGATAACTCGTAAAAAAGTCATCGCTCTTGCGCGTTAGCACGCGTCATATTTAATGCATATCATGTATAAAGCTGCTATCGTTGCCCTCGCTGCATGAATTTTGGAGTCGCGCGGCTCATTAACGTTGATAGCATCGTTCCTTAATTGCTATCATTACAGCGTATCGCTTAACGCGTTTTCACATCGTGTGGTTTTATAATTACAAAAACGTGCGCGACGACAAGATCGATTAATTTATAATTTGTGAACGTATATAAATAAGAAATGTTTTTTCTTTTTTATTTAGAGGATGACTAATGTTTCCTTTTTGATGATTTAGATGTACATTTATTATTTCTATTTAAATTTCATATTTATTTTGACATGATTTTTCTAGGAATAATAGGAATTCTTGAGAAATAGAAGAAATAAAACGATAGAGAAGAGTAGATATAGAAAATAAATAGAAAATAAATAGATAAAGAATAAGATAATATAATACGTTAAAAAAATTATGATACGGACAAATGACGCGCAAAACAATTTGACTATATAAAAATTGCATACACTTTGATACAGTTTTATCTTGCTAATATCAATCTTAATCAATTAAATTAACGAGATAACAATAGTTATCGGCTATTTCATTTTTGGAAAATGAATTTCTAATTATATAAAAAAATCACTGTTGCTGAAAGAAAAAGAGATGTTCTTTCCTTTTTTTTTCCCTCGCGACATCCAGACGCATTGACAAAAAATTGGGCGTTTTGTGAACGACATTAACTTGCTCTTTCTTTTGAATTCTTTCTTTTCGGGATGAGATCTATGCGATCAATCGGCACGAAACGGCGCAGCCGTCTCGACCGAATCCGATTTGCTCAGCAGATTGTATATATGTGTGTGTGAATGTGTGGAATCGCGTGGCGCGCAAATTTGTACGCGCAGGAAATTCTGTTTATCCTTCTAGGCTGAACCTCTCGTGGCCATCTTGCGCGCGTTCGTAAAACCGTCTGCTTCTTCTCTTTCTCTTTCACTCAGCTGTCCCCTCTCAACCCCCGTTCAACGGCCCGGTGGCCGCGACAAAGGGCTGCCACGACGACCGGGCACGTGTTCTCCGATGTTTATTAATAAACCCCGACGGTTGTGCCCGGCGATTTCGTCCGAGCCAGTACGTCTGGAAACCGGCGCAGGTGATAGCACCTCTCTGGTCGAAAAACTGCTCGGAATAATAATCCGCGATTATTGCAGGATATTCTGTCATATTCGAGGTATATATCCGTGAATACCACCTTATGACTAAGCGGATTAAATGCTGCGATGAAAGGCCAGAGCTGCATGGAATTTATCGAAATTATGAAACTCATCGTAAACTTTCAGGTTTTCATTTAGCTTAAAGCAGAAATGTAAAAATATACATGTGAATCTATATCATATAGTGATGTATTTCTGAAAGCGTTTCGAACCAGAAAGATTTTCAACGGTATAGGGCTTACCCAATCGCTTTTCTTTATCGCGAAGGCCTCGGAAAAGATTGGTACTTCATAAGTTTGCACAAGAATGTGGAAGTTATTTACTCGCGAAAGTTTGCTACGATTTTTATGTTTGCCTTATCTTGAAAGGTAACGGGACTGGTCTAGACCGAGTTATGCTAATGTACGATGTTCTTTCGGAAGTTCTGAGGTTCGCTGAGTTCTGAGGATTTTATAAAATGCTGCAAACGATATAGTGGTATAGGATCTATTTTGCATCATATTTATGTAAAATTTTTTTTCATATCATATATACACTTACTGTTGCAGATTTTTTTATAATTTTGAGATATTAATTGATTAATTAAGAGTTTCTTAAAAGTTTTGTATTGTTTTTCTTTGATATTATATATTATTTATATATTATATTTTAAAGAGATCACATTATATATTATGTATTATATTATATATAATTTTATTATATTTATATTTAAAAAAGTTACAAACACGTAACGCAGAGATTTCAAAACTTCAAGTTTTTTTTTTAATTTTTTTAATAATACACAAAGTATTTTTTTTCTTTCTCTAAAAACTCTAACACACGAGTCACACTGTACTATTTTCTTATATAGCCTGTATCTTCGATGCAGAAAAAAGCAAGCCATGTGCAATTTTCACGCTATCAACGGGCAAGTAGCGCATAACGTTCTTTGGACGATTCGTACATCGTCGATGCCGACAGTATAAACTTTCAGCAGACATCCACGCTTATTGTCAATCGTGCTTCAACAAGTGTTCCTGCACGAGATGCAAACAATTTGATAATGACGTTATCGGTTGCGTGGCGAGGCTGCGCCATATATATAAGCATAACTTACGGCGGCAAGTTTTGCGGAAAGACGCGAATAACATTAACGTGCCAATTAGCTTCTAAAGGAAGCAGTTGTTTCGAAACTTAATTAATAATTACGCGTTCCATATGTAAATATGACGAAAAAATTATGAACAGGTGAATCGAATCTGTCTAAAAATCAGATAGAGTTAATTAAATACACATTTAGAAATAATTAAAAATACAACTCTATTTTTTAATTGTAAATGCATTAAAATCTAAGCGATTAAAAATAAAATTGGAAGGCACAGACTGTACTACTTAACTTACATGTTTGAATATAGTGAAAGCGTTTGTTCCTCTTTTTATCTTGCCTTTTATAGAATCAATCAATGGAAATTTCTTCAATAATAAGAAGAAACGTTGCGAGAATTTTCGCGGTAATGAGTCTTAAAAAGCCGCAGGCATGTCTCCGGGTTAATGCACTTTTCACGCTTGTGCAATTAACTCTCGCGTATATGGTTGAAGATTTTTTTCTCGAAACTTGACGAGAGCCAAGCGTCGCCGTGTGTTTTTCGAAAGTCTGCGTCCGTCTGCGACTTTGGCCGAGAGGATATTTTCGTGGCTTTCGCGTGGCAATCGGCCAGTGCCGAAATGTATGTACACCACACGGTTGACGCGATCGAGAGACGACGACGTTAGCGCGATGGGAATTTGTCGCGTCTAAGTGCGACACGTCTCCGAGAAGTACATTCTTCTCGTACACGACGGGGTGTCTGCACGGTCCACGTGTGGGCTATTAAAAACCAGTGTCTCTCAACGGGTGTTCCGTGGAACAGGAGACCGTTTTACGAGCGTTCCCTTCTTTCTCCCTTTTGACAGAAAACGAGAGATTCGGCATATAATTTCCGTATCGCGAAACAATATTTTCCTTTATGGCTCTCCTTACTTTCGATGCAAACAGATTTTACTGTGCGCGAACGAGACCGGAAGGACACTCTGTTCCGTGAAATGCACACAGCTGAGAATCGAAATTTTTGTGTTTTACGATCGTGAAGGAACCCGAGTGCCGTATGCTTCCGCCGGCTTGCGAACCAGCCGGCGTACGGCCATTGTTTCTACCCTCTGCAAGCGGGTATGCCTCTTACTACCTGAAGGGTTGAAACTGCTTCTACCGACGTCAGGACTGGTCGACACTGCACGGCCAAAGAACTCGAGACAAAATTATATTATATATGAAATAAAAGAATATATTTTAGAAATAGAACTGTCAGGATTATAAATTATGATCTGTCAAAGAACGAAAGTTTTTCAATAATCAGGCAAAATAAATCCAAATGTCAATTTATAATGAGATTTTTATTTTGATTTCTGGAATTTAAATAACATATTGAGAAAATTAATTTCCTAGTTTATAAACTGATTGTTATCGATACTTTTAACTTCGTGAATGTTCAATATTATTTTATTAAAAGACTAGAATTGAATTTTAAATTTAAATAGCGTTTAACTTAAAAATCTGAGATTATTTTTAAGCTATTCGTTGAGAAAATGTTCCGACAAACTTGGCGTGAACTAGGACGTCTAGGACGAAAGACGGTGAAGGAGGAGAGGGCGGTGATGGCAATACAACAATATGATTATACGGCGTGCTGCACCGGTTTTCTGCAGCTGCCGCCGCCGCCGTCGTTTTGGGGGATCTCGACCGGGAACGGACGATCGTTCTGTCGAAGTACCGGTAGAAAAAGGACTAGGGAGGGATGGGTAAGGAGAGTAGGCGGGGGTTAAAGAAGAGGGGCCCCTCTGTCCTCGCCGTAGGGCCCGGTGCGGATAATACGGTATGGGCAAGTTGAAGCGAGAGCACGTTGGGAACACGCTGTGAGAGAGGAACCAAGAAAAGGCACGAAAGAGAAAGGGTCCTCTTTCTCCCTCTTCTACCATCGGGAACTGTAGAACACATTGCAGAAACTCGAAAGACGAGCCACACGAAAAATGCCCTACTACCTGGTTCCCTCGAATTCTCTCTAAGCGAGGAGCAAAACTGGCTCCCTTTTCAAGCTTCTTTAGAGAAGAGAAGAGAAGGAGAGAGAGAGAGAGCCTTGGATGGAGGTCAGGGTTCCTCCTCCCTGTTCTTTCTTCTTGTCCCTCGATATACAACTTTCTTCGTCACTCTTTCGTCGGTTGTTCCATCGGATTTTCCCCGACAGAGGGGTTCAGCTTCTACACAGGGGATTTATTCGTTCTCTTTGTGCTCGGTGGAGTCATCGATTCGAGCGAATCGGACGGAGAAGATAGACGAAAATAATGTGCACGTCAGACGAAACTAGAGGACGATTCGCTTTCGTCGTCCATCAGTTCTCGTGCTGCAGGAAGTGAGCGCAGATGTATACACGCATGTGTACATGTATTTGTACATGTGTGTATGTGAACATGTCATGTTGCATCACTATATTGCTGATAGTATCTTCGAAAGATTTTTTTTTTTCATTTTGTAAGTGTATTTTCTTTGTTAGAGTGATTTTCATATGAATATTCTGTGTTATAAATGAATAAATATTACAATACTATAATAAATACTACGAATAAAATTTAAAAAGTTGATCGACTTTCTCGAAAGTCATTAATACACTTTTTTGTATATCTTTTTTTTTATAAAGAGCGTTGTGATATTGTAAAATACGAGTTATTTATTTTTTTTATCGAACTAATCGTTTGAACTAATTATTTTTATATTATTTGAATTTTTAGAGATATTAGAAAAATATATTAATTATGTTGTACACATCGAACACATACGTCTATGTGCACTATGTTTAATGCTTTTATAAAAATCCATTATTTCAATAATTTTAACATTTTTAAACATCGTTCGCTATGTTGTGCTTGAACTCACGTCATGACATGATTTATTACGTAGGCAATGTTATTTTAGATAGCGCATTACTCACGCGCACTTGGTTCTATTTTTGTCAATCTTATATTTATAAGTAAAATTTCGATATTTATGAGTTTATGATATAAAATAATTTTTTCCCTCAAAATCAAATTTGTTTATACATTGAAACTGATAATATTATTTTCCTGCTATTTTGTATCTATAGAAAATGTATGCTAATGAAATTAATTTTGCACTTAAAAACAATTGTTTATAGAAATGTTTAAGAAATATTTTATTTAACTTGTTCGTTTTACCGCTTTTAAAAATTATTTTATATAAATTTCTTTTTATGTAAATCTTCTCTTGTTGATTGCAGATTAGACTTGTTGATTACACGTTACGCGTAATTAAATTAATGTAATTTCATCGTTGCGATAATTGTTTTCTAAAGTTCTGCTTGGTACCTAAATAGTAGCGATATCTCTTTTTTTTGCGTAAGAATTTCCGCGTTCATTTCACTCAATTATGATTCCCCTTTCACTGAAGTTAATGCGAGTGGAGCCGCGTACATTCTTACAAATCAACAAAATAAAATTCCTCGGGAGAAAAGTGATAGCACTTCGTTTATCGCCGTCAGATCACAATTGTAGCGTAGCACGTACGCATTAAAACGCACACGCATCGTTATAGCGCACGCGTGTCAATTTGGTTGCAATATATGTAATTGCACGAAACTTGCACATATGCACACGCACATTATGTATCGATCCTGCATGACCAAGTGCAGCAGTTCTTTCACCCTCGTAGGGATGAAAAGTGAACCTTTTCATCAAAGCTTTCTAAACCGCACACGTGCGCGGCTTCCTTAATTGGACGCAGTTGAATTAAACAGCAACGCGGTACACAAATTAATCCCTCCGTAACAAACATGCTACTTTAAGGGCACAATGTAGATCGAGCATCATTAAATAAACGAGGAGTTTGATCGTTTGTATCGATTTTAGTGAGGCTTCCTCAATATGTTATGTGACGTCCAATTATTCTGTCTAGAACATCTAGTGTACATTAGAAATGAGAATATGTTTCGACAAATAATTGAGATCTTGTTCAATTATGTTAAGCTAAATAAATCTCTCTTCTTGTGAAAAGACGAAATAAAGAAAAGATTATAATATTCTGTAAATAAGGAAAGAATAAGACATACATATGAGAAATGAGAATATGTTTCAACAAATAATTGAGATCTTGTTTAATTATGTTAAGTTAAATAAATCTCTCTTCTTTGTGAAAAGACGAAATAAAGAAAAGATTATAATATTCTGTAAATAAGGAAAGAACAAGACATACATACACTTTGCTGCTATGTCTATTTTACACAGGCATGATTGAAGGAAAGTATAGGTATATGCTATATGCAGATTTCACTCATCGTGTGTTCTCGCGTAGGATGCAATAGATATTTAAATCTGGGATATTCACGATAGACGAAAATACATACGTATCGATTTCATTCAAAATATTGTGTTCACTTCACAAGTTTTTGCTACTGCAAATTTTATGAAATAAGAAATTCTATTATTAAGACTGAAGAAAAGATACAACTCAATTTATTTTTAATGAGAATTAAAAATTGATTTTCATTAATTTAAATTTAAATTAAATTTTATTAAGAAGTAAGTCATAAATGAAAAAAGTGTTAATTTCATTTGAGAAATTAAATGTTATTTCTCGATGAAAATATATATATCCATCAAATTAATTCTCTCTTTATTTATATTTATAATAAATATACATATATCGATTTTAAAATCAGCTGATAGCAAAATATTGATATGCTTTCCGTTTAATTTATATATATATATATATACATATATAGTTTTCTCTTCTTATTTTCATACAAATTACTTATGTTGCAGAACAAAGAGCGTCCCGTGTCTAGATGCTGCACGGCCTGTGGCGTGATTAACATTGACCGAGGTACCAAAGAAAGTGTCAAGATTGAGCAAGTCGTTGTCCCGTCCGGCGGCGATCTCGCCAAAATTTGGAGGATGCTGATGCCGGGTGCCGCGGGTCTCGGTGTGGGCGCGGTTGGCGCTGTGGGCGCCGTGGGTGCCCCAGCGCCCGACGAGCTGGTGCAAGGGCTTGGAGCCCTGACCGGTACTACGCCGCAGCAAAAGGATACGACATGGACGAAGCTTTTCGTCGGCGGTCTACCCTATCATACCACCGACAAGAGTCTCAGGGAACATTTTAACGTTTACGGAGATATCGAAGAGGCGGTCGTCATCACGGACAGACAGACCGGCAAAAGCAGAGGCTATGGCTTCGTAAGTAATTCACGAATGGATTAACAAATATAAAAACATTCTCTCGAAATTTTATAATTATTTACCTTGTCGAAAAACATTTACATAAATATTAAATAAATTTATTACGTAATTTTTTATTTAAAAAAATTTACCAGTAATTATATCTCACACAAATCAAAATGCTTTTAATGGGCGCGTTGAAAAAATATTCTTTTTATATTCATCTGAAAAATGTTTTTTGTACAAGAATATATTTTCGTTTAAATCGCATTGTGTAGCGTTAAGTCTGTTTTAAATTTACCTAAAAAATATTTCTTATATTTGAGACTAAGATAAGATTGTGTTTAGTAACTGCAACAAAAGATCCTAAGCCTTGAATAACTATGATAAAAGATCCTAAATCTTCTTCACTGTATTCTTTGGTTTGTGAGAAACTTTACAATGCTATCTGCTATACTTTCTCATACATTAGTAATAAATGTGTACCATAAAATTTGACCTTATATTTATAACTTAATTTTACTTTTGAAAATGTTTATTGAACGGGAAATATAAAAAGTTTAATTTATATGTTCGAATGATATAGTAATTTATACAAAATACGTAAAAAAGATTTTGCGCATATTCGAAAGAATATTTATTTTTTATTAGCTAAAGGAATTTATATATTTATTATATATTCAAGAATTTAATCTGTACGCAGGTAATTATGGGAGATAAACCAGCGGCAGAAAGAGCATGCAAAGACCCTAATCCCATTATTGATGGTCGTAAGGCAAATGTCAACTTGGCCATTCTCGGAGCTAAACCCAGGAGTAATTTGCAATCGAGTAAGTATAATTATTTAGTCATTTTTGTGATTGTATAATAAGATGTGTGTGCTAGCCATTTTTATTATTTCTACATAATATTATAATATGCCCAATTACTTCAAAGATTGATATATAAATTCTATCCACACAGTAAGTTCCAATTATTTGAGTGAATTATTTTGGTTGATAGAAGACGTATTTGTACTGCTTTTGTCTTCTATTTCTAGTTCTATAATATCTCTTAAAATATATCGAAATTTTTAGATCGCACAATGGATTTAATACTCGTATAACGATATTAGAGTCAAATTGAATTTTGTACGTAATTGCATTATTGATTAAGTTTTGCGATCGCGTTTAGTTCTTATAATTTATGCAGAATTTCAAACGTTTTTCAAGTTTAACCGGGTTAACTTGCGCGGATTAAATGTATTTGCGCTTCTGATAAGAAATTAAGAATCGAATTACATCATTTCTGTTTAGAGCCACGTCGTACTTTTTGTTGTTTTTGATATTTGCGCATCACAGTCACAAGTTTTCACTGTTGATCCATTGCCAGAATCGCTGAAATCTCATTCGCGTCGCAACGAAATGTTGTCACGCGCATCTTAGGATGCGTAGAATAATTCTGACGCATTTATTATTATTTATTATATTTATTATTAATCGTGCACGTCTAAATCTAATGAGAGGATAATGAAACATTTAATCAAAGCGTTATTTTTTTACTATATTTTTGCTAGAAAAAAAAATAATTGTGCAATGTTCAAAATATAAAAAAATAATTTGATATATTGATAAAAAGAGTTTCATCTAACAGATATCTGTACGGGTAAATAATAATGATCTTTTTTATACGATCGAATTGTGATATACCTATACATTGTGGATGAAAAAGGTCGATAGGGTCAAAAGACGGAATAAGACGATCAGCCAAATAGTAAAGTGTTCCTTGAGTCACTCTCGAACTCTCTCAATGGCTTTGAGCCAACATAGTTTGGCGCTTCGAGATCTAAGTCTAAAATTGCCTTAACCCGAGTACCGAATTGTCTAGCTTTTTTTCTCTCCGAATTGCCTTTAGTTTATTGCCGTATATACCTATACAAATCATTATATTTACAATCACTTTTTGCATTTAAATATGTTCTTACTTTCACATTTGAAATCTTCGTGGCATTACCTATATTCTTTTAAAAATTCTGAAGAGATATACTATTGAAGTGTCACAATATTCGATTTTGATTAAAATAAAAAAATTATACAAATTTTTTTTATAATGGAAATATTATATTTCGCATATATTTGTACATTTTTTAAATATTTTTTTACATACTTGAATTCTATCAAGAACTTTGTAGAAAAAGATAACATTTTATTAATTCTGAAAATGCGGACTTGCAACTTCATTTTATATTGCGCTACGGAAAGGACGAAACATATTCTTTCTAGGTTAACAATCGTTATATTCGGTTGCATGGCCATTTCAAGTTTATTGCGCGCCGTAATGCACTCTCAGATAGCGAGCATGCCATCGGCGCATCAGTATCTCAGTTGTGTGCACGCGTCACGTACCTACATGTCCGCTTCCACGCACATGTGTCCATTCCTATCTGACGGTGCTGCAATCGCGCACATAATTATTAAACGATCGTTAACAGGCAGAAAGTTTTGATAACACCAAAAAGAATGAATAAATATATAAATTAAAATAAAGAATGACAAAACACACACAAATATTATTTACGAAACGACTGTGTATTGTATACCATACTGTATGATTTGCTCAATTTTATCAATGCGGCAGACACGAATTCTCAATGTCTCCATAAGATAATCGAATGAAAATTTTTAATCGTTTAATTATCTCTTCGAGAAATATCACGTTCACTGTTTTCGTAACACGTAAATTTCGTACATCGTATATTGATTCGGCAAGATTCTTTTAACGGAACACTGGTTCTATATTGATCAAATTAATGAATAAAACATGACATGAAAGATGGCATATGACACAGATTTTCAGCTAAGAATATGAATTATTTTTGCTGACAATTTTCTACTAATTTTAAATCGGTGTAATGTTATATGATTGGATAAATCATTATGTTATTATGAATTGTTGTTCATGTTTTTTACTATTTCTATTTGTAATAATATTTTTTAAAGTAGAGAGCTCTTAAATTATCATATATTTATTTATAATAGTTACGCGTAAATTCTTTTATTAATTTTTATTCTTTCCTTTTAAAAAGAATGTCAATAATTAGAATAAAAATTGTCATTTTTAAATTTATTTTTCATAGAAATATCGAATTGTATTATTTCCAAAAAAATATTTTAAGACAATATATCTATATTACAAAATATAAAAAAAAATAGGATTGTTAATAATTTTATGTATGTATTATGTATGAAAAAGAATTTATATAAGCTCGATTACATGATAAACAGAAGAATGAGCATTTGGGAATTAAAAACTAAGATTTATCGATTACATCTGTGATTTTCAGCATTCCCGTTCGCTACAGGCATCCGGGCCGGTTATCCAGCAGTACTTCCTGGCCAATACGGGTGAGTACACATTTATGTGCTTTGTCGAGGGATATTAAGAACGCATATGTCGTAACTGTAGTTAGAGATCAGAGTAATCTAAGTCGAGAAGAATCGTTCGTAGCGCGATCGTATAATCACTGACTATCAAATTCTCTCGCTGCGAATCGACAAAATCGCATATTTTCGCGCGATTTTTCGCTCTCTCGAATTCTTTTTTTTTTTATCGCGTATAGGTGAATTAAATAAACGCAACGTTTATACAAATTTGCCCATCAACATTTATCACGTGAACAGAAAACGGAACTAAATTTGTTTTGCTTTGTGAACATGTCGATAGATAAAGTTCTTGAACCACCCTTAAAGCGAGCACGTATTGCAAATCGTTCGCTTTCGCGTAGAATTTCCCGGGAATATTGGGTCGAGATGTGATGGAAATTAATAATAGTCGTTGATGGAACGTTTGAAAAAAAAAAAAAAAAAAAAAACTAAGAAGGTACTCGCTTAACGGATTCGCACGGTCGAATAATTTTACGAGCCTTTTTGTAAAGACATCATATATATGACATTTCAGCATCCTGACGCGCGCGCGTAAGGAGACAGGCAGAGAGTCCTCTTTCCGAGATCTTTGAGAGGGCCAAGGGCCGTTCTAAGGACTCTATATTAATGCGAAAGAGCGACAAAGAAACATGAGAAAGAAAGAGAGAAAAAAAGGAGAAATATATTAACGATCGATGAAAGAAAGAGAAAAAGAGAGGGAAAAGGGAATGAGAGAGAAAGCGGCACACGCACACGTATCAGAAACCTACACGTATGAGTACCTACAAGTTTCTTTCCATGAAGTACGATAGCGATGATCTTTTGAAGATCGGCCTGTTGTTCTTCTAACGTACTTTTTTTGATTGTGTTTTTTTCTTTCTTGGTGAAACTGACGTGAAGTGATGATAATGATTGCGGTTGCTGAGAAATTTGCGATTGTTTGTTACTGATTTTTCATATTTTTTCATTTTATTTTATATCTTTACTCTTTTACACTCTTTTTTTAATTAGCATAATATTAATGACGATAATAATCAGAGTGATAATAAATCGCAATATTGATAGCTGTTTATACCTCTTCGATTCGACACTATCGTTCATACAAAGTAATAGGGATTTTAGCGAGATATTCTAGTCTATATTTAAGTCTAATTATTTATTATAAATATACAGAGAAAAAGATATAAGGGATAACGTATTATTTAATGTCAATCTAAAAATATTTATTTTTAAATATTAACAAGTAATTTGTGTATGGAATCACATATTTAACTCTAAAGTCTTTCAAATTACTTTGGCACATTAAGAAATGAATTTTTTATAATATTTTTTTCTTTTACTCATTGAGATGCATTGAAAAAAAGTTAAACTTGAAATAAAATATGTGAAATATATTTTTAATTAAGCAATATTTTAATATTGCTGCTTATTATTAGTTAATTAAATGATAACACCGCGTAATTTCTTTTCTTGATTTACGATATTGAATTATTAGAATTAGCAGCTTAAAAGTATAAATTAATGAGTAAATCCATACTCGTCTGTTCTAAAATTTAAAATACAAAAAATTTCTTTTTTCGTTTTAGCGCCTTTTAGCGATTCGTTTATTTTCGATCATCATGTATGTATATCGTACTTCGTTTATTATAATTGCTGTCTTGTTTTGCCTTTGGTGGCGGGAATGCTAAAACGGAACGAGAATAACATCTTCCAATTTTAGATGCAAATTTTCGAATCGCAGTGCTTCCTCTCGCGTCGGATTTATTTGTCTTGTAGTCGAAACGAACGAGGTACTTTATTAGACACTTTAACGAGATTCGTAGAAAAAGCTGCAATGATTTCCAGACGTAGCTCATATCCGATTGCATTTTTCTTATTTTAGAACTTAAAGAATTACGAACGAGAATATGGCGTAAAGAGGCCACATATAAATTTCGATATAGGTTTCTTCGTTAAATTCAAGCGCAAGCCAAGGAAGAAGCGTATATCTGATCCATTCCGATCCGCCAGGGAACCGTTCGGCCATTGCTTATAAATATTTAGTCTTTCGGGGTACGTAGACCATGCAGGCTTCGCGTTTGCTCGCCGGTTTAAAGCGGTCTTTCGCGATTCCGCGAGAAATATATGGAGTCGAGCCGCGAGAGATGACGGAGACGCGCGTAATTCGCGTGGAATTCGGCTGAATAAAGAGGAACGCGTACGGAGTCTCTTCCGAAGAGCCCTTCTGGCCGGAAATCGACCGGCGCCGAGAGACACGAACGGTGCGTATTAATTTTTGATCGCGCGACGATCGATCCCATCGCGGTTCACCTCGTTTGGCCCGCTGGATTCTTCAATGCCGCACGAAAGTTTCATTCGAATGGGGTAAGAGGGCGCCCATATCGATAAGAATTCGAGTGAGCCCTTTCGGAAATGTGCTCGACTCAATCCGTTATTTCTTTAGAGATTACGTACGATATCTTATCAGATTATTAAGACCCTTGTGTGCGATATCTATAAATAATAAATTGAAAAAAAGCTCGAAATAAAAGCTTCGAGCCTAATTCGATAAGAATTCAAGTGAGCCCTTTCGGAAATGTGCTCGACTCAATCCGCTATTTCTTTAGAGATTACGTACGATATCTTATCAGATTATTAAGACCCTTGTGTGCGATATCTATAAATAATAAATTGAAAAAAAGCTCGAAATAAAAGCTTCGAGCCTAATTTGATAAGAATTCAAGTGAGCCCTTTCGGAAATGTGCTCGACTCAATCCGCTATTTCTTTAGAGATTACGTACGATATTTTATTAGATTATTAAGACCCTTGTGTGCGATATCTATAAATAATAAATTGAAAAAAGCTCGAAATAAAAGCTTCGAGTCTAATTCAATGAAAAATCGCGAATAGAAAAAGATCTTTTTTGAAATGATTTTTGAAAAATGTAGGACATGTTAAAAATTAGGATGATTTAGGATCGGAATGAAAGCAAGATATGTACTCTTTCCTTGGAATGCGATAAGGTCGATCGAAGTGTCTTCTTTCGTGGAAACACGGATGTCCGCCCTCCCCCGAAACTTGTATTAGGATCCGCTAACCACTATAATATTATTAATAACCTTGTGTGTGTGGTGAAGGCTTACACTACACTTGGTGTCGCTATTGGTGTTGTATTTTTTGGTGTTGTACGTGGGTGATTTTTTGGACTTTCAAATAACACGGTATAGCTCTCTGTCGTATATATAATAACGAAATACCGTTGGATGTTTTCTTATTTGTTTTTTTTTTCTTTTTACTCGAACATTTATCGCGTAATTGTCAGTTTGCAGCATGACCAACTTCGTAAGTTGGTCGTCATCATTGTGAACAATTGCGTGACGTCTTTCTGAGATTCTCCACGGTTGTCTCTACGACTGTGGGAAAAAATGCAATCGTATAGCAAAATACTTTTTACAGTTCAATTTTTTTATGACCCTTTCGAATGGCGGTCTTTCCTTTTTTCTTACAAAGTAATCTGAGAGACCCATTTTTTTCTCGTTCGTTAATGAAAGACCACGGGAGACGTTTTAATTTTTTCCTCGTCTCGCGGAGAAATGTGTCGTAATTGTGTGAAAGAAGCGTGAATATGTAAGTGCGTCACGTGCAACGGGGGGGGGGGGGAGAGGGTCTGTTTTTTTGTGCGGTTTAGAGGGGCCCCATACAAAGGGGTCAATCGATTTCTCGCGCGGTCGAGATTGCGGTCCATATTTTTCATAAATTTAACGAACAGATTAATTAAATGTAATTTTATTAAGTAAATGCTATTTTATTGCTAAATTATAAGAAAATTAGATTTGGAATCCACATTTAATATTAAAAAAAATAATATATAAATTGTTATTAGTTATATTTTAAGATAGTTCTATAATGTTATTTGCTCAAATGACATTATCCTCATTGATGCGATTTAATTTAACGCAATTTTTCATCAAATCAATGACCAGATTACTTAATCTTGGCTCTATTAATTAAATTGCGGTAAAATAAAAATCATTAAATTAGATTTCGAGTTCATTAAAAAAAAAAAAAGAAATAATTCGTGTAAATTGTTATGAGTTTTATCTTCAGACAGTTCTATAATATTGTTTCGCTGAAATAACATCATTCTTATCGTACTCCAATTTCATCGAATTTATCGATGCTATTAACTGCGAAACGCAATGCGGCGCAGTTCGCTAATGCAGACGGAACAATGGCGGAAATTTTTCCGTCGCGGGTGACAACAAACTACGCGAAAATTCGTGGAGTAAACGCGTTATTGCCGGAAAGTCACGTCGGTGTCATAGGCGTAGATGCGTAAAAGCGCGCGTTTCGGAATTAGCTAAATGTAGGTGGAGAAGTGAAATCCAACACCGGTCTCTCTCTCGGAGGTAGACGTCAGAGAGCGGAGCTCTGATAAATCCGTGTCGTAAGCGAGCGCCGCCGTCGACGACGACGACGACGACGACGAAGAGCGACGAACGTCTCGGATCGACCATCTTGGAGCCGCGCTGGCGACGGTCCAGTCTTTATTTAGCACCACCTGTCCCTCGTGTCAGCCTCTCGCTACCAGCCACCGCTCGCTCGAGGGTATCCATCGAGAGGATTCTAACGCGATTTACGCGTTAGGACGGTATCGCGTACGTCGGACCCGCTGTTGAAGATCCGCGCTTATTTATGCGCTCACTCGCCACTTCCGCTCGTACACTTAGATCGAGTGAGTGAGTTAAGGGACACGACCGTAATCTCGTTGGATTCAAACGCGATGTTCCCCATTTCGATTTTTTCCTCCGCGAGAGAGTGTTCAACATTTTACACATAAACAATCCGAAGCTGTATTTCTCTTTGAAACAGCACTCGTTTGAGATACGCCGTTCTATTTTATATGCATATTATACGCAGACTTTTTCCCTTTTCTTCGATCAAGTTCAGCTCCGCGAATCGATCTATGCATGGTCAACCGATGAAAGGGTCACAGAGGCGT